CTATGCTACTAGTCCGGTCACTAATAAATTCTACCTTCGTTGCCTTCCCGCTACTTATAAGCGCGCTGTTGTCCTCTCTACTCCAAGGCTTTATTATACTTGTCTAAGTCATTGATCGTCTGCGACACAAATACCTTGAGCTCTTGCATCAGAGCGTTGGCCTCAACCAAAAGACTTCTAAACAACTGGAAGGCTCGGCTCGCGCCGATCATGGTGTAGTGGGAAACTAGTCCGAAATATCCATGGGCTAGTTCACAATATTCTATATTATTAAGCCCCCTCTAGTAAGGCTTTCCGCCCCCAAAGCAATATAATATTTTGGATGTCACATCGCCCCCACGTATAGATTAGAACGTAAGCGAGGGGAAATGATGTGAGATGGACATGTGTCACTTGGCAAGTAAGCCTTTCCTTGGGTATCTCGTCTTATAACAGGTGAAGGTGAGGTGTTCCCGCCCTAGCCACCTATATCGCTTATCCTCCGTTCGTCCGCAGAGCAGCTTGCTTCGCCATCCCGGGCAATATATAACTTCCAGGTCAAATGCCGAGAGTTGTGTGAACAACATTTGGGAAGGTTTCCCGCGCTCAGTGCTAAACCTAAGGTGATACTGTAGTATTCTCTGCTTCATCAATGGAGGCTGCGACCTTGTCCACGTCGACCTTGTCAGCTCCAGTGAGACAGATAGCTCTGGGGCACGAATAGGACTCTGTGTTTGTATAATCGGCGGCAGCAGTAAGAAGCAACCCCAGACCGAAAAACACGGCAGCTCCAATCAGCTCACAATTATCATAGCCACTGAGCTTGCAGATTGACCATCCAAGACCACCGCAGCCGACTTGACAGGCAACTCTAATAAAAGCCACGATAGGTCAGGTATGCAGGTTGATAGCAATAACCTATAACACTCACGTGTACTTGCTCGTGCCTGCACTGTAGATGAACTGTTCCATACTTGACATGCTGTTTGATGCCAAGCAGCACAAGTATGCTTTGATTGCATCCCTACATGGTGGAAAAGGGGTGTAGTCTCGGAGTTGCCTTCGATATTGATGGATGACGGCGATAAGCTTTACCTCGATTGTGAGCTCAAGTGTGTGAGTATGTTAGACCATAGGTTTGTGATGGTAAAGTGGGACAGTCGTGCGCGAATGTATTGTAGGCAGCAGTGTCATTCATGCATCGGATAAATCAGCATCTCCATCATAACGTGATCCACAAGCACGAACGTGTGCCTTGTAGTATTAGAGCCAGAACTGCAAACCGGAACGACAAGACGTATAGTACAGTACTCTGTAGAAGAATAAATGACGACTCCGACCGGCACACCGAAGGCCTCAGTTGGATTACTTAAGAACGAGACGCACAATATAAGTAAGTATTAAACTACGCCAATGCTTATATCCAAAAACAATGCATTGTATTCCAGGATCGTAGTATTCCAAACGCCCTTTCTATAAATTTATACTGCTACACCTGCTGGCTATGCAAAGCCCTATACAGGCACTCCGACAGAACGTTAATTGTTGAAATTTGTCCAACCTCTCAGACCTGAGTCGCATGGCATGCATCCGGGCCCTGTCTCGAATTCAGACTTTGGATGGACACGGCAGATTGGGGGTTTTTGTCTCGTTCACTCATGTCACTACCCAGTAGGATTGGTGCTTCGAAAGAGGCGTAATTTCTGGTCGGAGGGGAGGATTCATGTCTATAGATATCGCTTGGTGATGGTGACCTCTTTGACTTGGTATAAAAGGTCCAGAAAGAGGCCAGACAGGCAACCACAATGGCTATTGACACAATCAGATGATTCCACAGCAGCCGTCGTGTCATCGGGGTCAACTCACCGACACAGATTTCAAGCGCATTCCAGAAGCCTAGCCAGATCGGGTCTATGATGCTCATATCTGATACGCTGAGAAATAGCCGTAATAGCGCGATGATGATGATAAACGCCGTCAAGAAGCTAACTCCGATTAAGGCAAGCTTTCTGGTCAGGTTCACTCGAGCCCTCCACATGACGTTACCGGAAAGAATAATGACTGGCATAGTGCACCTTGGTCAGCGAATCCTGAATTAAGAGCGAGCATAGTTCGTTAAGAAGGGCTACACATACTGGCTCCGTCCGACACAATGTCCAGAGACGTCGCTACTCTCAGCCTCACCTGTTGGGAGTGCATCGCGCTGGCACTTGCGCAAACCTCTGTCGATCCCATTGTTAGCAGCCCGAGTCGGTCACGCAGCTGGAGGAGACGGCAACTGACCAATACTATACTCGAGAGAACTCATCTCACACTTATAGTCCAGGCAGCCCAATGTTCCCCCATAGCAGGCAATGACAAGTACCAAAACCACCCACCAAAGGATCTGTTGTGCGCGATATCGATTTCCCAGTTGCCGGAAGAAAAACACAAACGATAGCTTGATCAGCCATAAACCGGTGAAGGAGAGCAGGTAAGCAGAGAGCTGTCCGTTGAGGTACCGTTTTTGCATCCATTCGATATTAGCTGGCACCTTCGAGAAATCAATAGTGGTAGGGCTTTTGGCGAGAGAAATCACTTCGTACATCTGCTTGTAGAACGAGGACCAAGTGATGCCATTGCCCAGCGATAACAGCCATGCCACCAGGATCAGGACGTCACTCGTGTGCCACTTGCGGTCAATGCGATATTGGAGGGTGAGCCGGACGAGGATGAAGAAGAAGCTGATGGTCAGACAGACCCAGAGAATGGTCTATGGGTGTGGTTAGCTGGAAAGCACAGTCGAAGAAGTCTGGATAAGGGCATGGCTTCAAGGCATACCACAAATGTGACCTCATCAATGGTAGAGTTACGAGTCATTCTGCCAGAGTTTCTGTGGCGGGTTGAAGACTACAGAACACATTTTCTTTTCTGAACCTGCGAAATGGAGGGTGGCGGACGAGGTCCTCGAATATGCCCGTTAGTGATCACCAGGCTGCGCATCCCTGTTCAGATTTGTCCGCCTCTGGCGAGGGGTGCATGGAGGGGCTGATTCCAGCGCTGGTGAAGTCTGCAGTTGGATGCATGTCAGACAGTACGGATTAGGGTCAGACGGATTTGTATCGCTTGTTTTGCAAAGTACTTGTAAAGCACAGTCCCTGCACGGGGAAGGATTATCTTCATCAATCCTTCAATTAGATTCATGAATCAGCCTTGTGTGGGGCCAGAAAGCCCATCATCACGAAACTGCAGCCGTGTTCTTAGCACTGTTCGTTAGTGCTGACGGTTTACTCATTTCATGCGGGATCACCGTCGGGGTCGTGTCCAATGGAGATTCTCCGCTCTGACCTCCAGCCCCATACGCTAAATGACAGCACAGAAGGACCATATCACGGTTACATTCTGCTCTATAAATAAACAGCTCGCGGGGGGGATGTTCCCGGGGGTTGCTGGCGATAGTATTTAGACGGAAGGTTGATCCTGGAAGTATCTGATAACAGCACATGGCGGAACCAACTGTTCGATGCGCCTTATAGACAACTGTTTTGTCCGCACCAATGGACACGCTCAGTATTGCCGCTAATGCATCTTGTTAGACGAGGAGCCTGCCGAAAATAACCCGGACCGCGGATTCGATAATTCGTGTCTTGATGAGGTGAGATCAAAGATAAGCAGGTCGGACTACCAGAAGATGAGAGACAACGTCACTATGCTTGGTTGAGGCATATGTCCAGGTTTTGAGCTGTTTTGTTTCTTCCATTTCAAGTATATACCCACTACCTTATGCTTCTGCGATCTCCTGAAGGATCCTTTGATCCTCCCGGCTCCCGTCGATCATATTAGTGTAGTACATGATGGCACCTAACCGAGCGTAGTTAACCTCACGGTTTATACGTGTTATGCTAATAGTAAATACGCCCACGGATCCCCAAATTGCTGGCACTGTTGGCTGCTATCTGAGGACAACTAGTAGTCGCTCCTGTGTCACCCTCATCGAGTGTTGTGCGAATCAATCCAACCTCAATAACGGCTACCTCAAGAATGACAGCAGTAAATATCCACACCTAAAATCTATCAGTCATTCTCCCCATGCGTGACACATCAGGGACTCAGGGATATAACACATACTTTTCACCAATCTGTACAGGCACAGCAGTAGGAGAAACTCCTAGCACATCGCCCATCCTGGCCAGATCTGGATCGTGAGTCTGGTTGTTTCACTTTGCCATCATCCACAGCCCCACAGTTTGCCAACGCCTTGGAAAATTCTTGGTAGATATCACGCCCAGGCACCGAGCCAGAAGCTGCCAGATAACATTCGTTGTGCCCAGATCTAATGTTAGTGCCTTGCAGGAAAAGGCGCAAAATTTGTAGATAAAGTTTAACGATGCCGACAACATGGCAGACAGGCCAAGTTGGAGTTTCTCAGTATAGTACCCGGTCTGAAGTGTAACATCATATTACTACAACCGTTCATCCTCGTCGAAGTGATCTCATTCGTCCGTGTGCAGCCAGTCGGGCTGTGTTGTGTCCCGCCTCTGCGTGAGGTCTTACATTGACGGCATGCTGTGCACCAGGTTAGGCCGTTCATAGAATAGTTCAGAAGAGTGGCATGACAGGACAACAGTTGTTTCTATTTTTAGAAGGTGAGTAAGGCTTTCATGGCGAGCGGCGTATATAGGCATTATTGCGAGGTTGGGTGTTCGAGTCAGTCATACGTTGAATGCTATTAAGACGATGAAAGGGGAAAGGAAATCCAGCACGTCCGAAGAATGCTTGATTCAAAGTGGCAATTTCCTGGTCTACGAGTACCCCACACCCCACATAGCAGCGCCGTGCTTACCAAACTAGGGGAGAGCTTATCAGATGTCGTTGTATTAGAGGTATTGTATAACTCGACTGACTTGCTGCCAGTCTCTACCGAATACCTTATACAGGTGCTGCCGCTTCTATATAGAGAGTACATGAGTACTCCGTATGGGCTCCGGGAGACTTGTTGAGTTCTGACTGATTGTTTACTGGGAACACCGGCTACTCCCGGACTATTCTGGCTGGTGTTTAATTCCTTCCCTATTCTCTGGTTGAAATCGCGTATTAAGAGACACCTGACAAGGTAACCCCTGAGCTGGCCGACCCGAGCCTGCCTGAATCATATAAGCACGCTCCCCAAAAATAGTATTCAGCCCATGAGCAGGATGCCTCTGATCCCACTCCGTATATTGGTCTTTGAAGTCAAATTCACGAACGGTCATAAGAAGTGTGACTCGAATGTCGAGGAGGGCTAGCGTCTGTCCGATGCAGTCTCGGGATCCGTGCTCGAATGGCCTCCAAGCCCCGGGTGGTGGGTATAAGGGGTGACCCGGGTCAACGAGCCAACGGTCAGGGATAAAAGCATGTGGATCTGGCCAGGTATGGGTGCTGCGGTGAATCGCACTGTGGACAATCCATATTGCAAAACCTGCCGTTGGGTAGGTGGTACCGGTGTGGTGGTCACGGAGGGAGACGTTAGAGCGACCGTCCCGGAGGCCATTTGCGGGTGGGAAGAGGCGGAGTGTTTCTTTGACGACAGCCAATGTGTATGGAAGTTGATTGATGAGTTCTGGGCGTTTGCGGAGTAAGTTGGGAGCGTTCGAAAGGTCCGTGCTGAAAATCTTGTCATGTTCTGCGCGAATCTTGGCTAAAGCTGCTGGATGTTTCGATAGGAGGTAAAGGCAGTACATGATTGTCACGGCGGTTGAGTCATGCCCGACAAAGAGGAACAGTCGAATCTGGGTAGTGGCCCAGGCCTTGAATTTGGGGTCGAGTGTTGACCCTGCGACTTGTCTTGTCTTCATGTACTCTGTGATGACGAGATCCATGATAGATTTGGAAGTAGACGAGCTTGTCGCGCCTTGTTGTCTCCATTTCTGATATCGCTTCTCCAGTTCGATCCCAATATAGTGGTTCATCGTCCGTCCGTTATACCACTGCTTGAACAGGCGCACAGGATTCACTCGACTGAAGTGATTTCCTGTTTCAATTTGACACTCCCGGTCTATCGTATCCCGCATCGCAGCTGCAATTGGATGGAATTTTCGCTGGCTTATAAACCGCGTGTTCCTGTTGAGCATATTAATTGATGTAGCGGGAGCTGGCGTGCAGGCGAGCGCCTTACATTGCGACATTTCCGATGATATCCATCACGTATTTACAAGTGATCTCGTCTAAGAGAAAGGTGTCGCCTGTCTTTGCCAGGTCTCGCAGGACATCAACGTACACTTCCACCTCTTGGAGAATATACGGAACATAGCTCATGACTGACCGCATGCTAAAGCCATGGCTAAAGAGCTCTCGTCCACGTTTCCATTCTGCGCCATTCCTGTCAAAAAGTGTTGGTCCACCAGTCATTGGAGTTATAAATGCGCCCAGGGCATCCGGCTTGACAAGGTCATAGGTTTGACAGGCCTGAACAGCGAGGTCTGGTGAGGTTACAACGAGGGTTGAGAAGCCAAATGGCCAGGTGTCCATATAAAAGCACGTATCTAGTCCTGATTCGGAGGCAAGGAGTGCAAAAGACATTGCCTCTTGGGCATCTTTTGGCACCTTTCTCATGAACCTCGCAAGTACCGGGAGATTTCCAAGGGCTGGATTCCAGGGGAGCATGGGCTAACAGAGATGGATTGTTAGATGCGAAGTTCGTCATTTAAATGGCGGCGACTTGGGTTAGAACTGTACCATTCCTTTCTTCTTGAGGCGGTAGAAGCACAGTCGTACCTTCACCAAGGTGTAGAAGAACGAAGCTAGGTAGAGTAATGCCATAGGCACGATTATGCGGCTTGCGAGCCATTTCCACTCGACTTTCTGGCTCTCCATATCTGATTCGAGCCTGTCTCTCGCGATTTAACAAACAGGGAGGGAAGGGGAATGCTACGAGGGCTTCAAGGATCGAGGGCGGAAAATAGGAAAAGCCAGCGATGGGTCAAGGCAAAGAAAGTTGGTTATGAGAAGGATCACAGGCAGGATATATAAGGACAAGTAGAGAGGAAATAGGTAACCTATAAATATTACTACTATAGGTTGAACAAAGGAAAGGGCTAGCAGGGATAAAGCTCCTCCGTGCCTCTACGTTCAGCGGTCGGACATGTTTGTGAGGATAACCCCGGGTTACTATAAGCTAAGAGAAACTGCCAGATGGATTCGATGAATAACAAGCTGCTTGGGTTAGCTTACGGATTTCTAGGGTAGAACAATAAACAAGTTCGTCAATGCTTTTGTCTCATGTCAATCAATCAATGGGTCTATGTCACGGTTATTACGCTCTGATTAGAGCACGTTATCAACATTTATCCAGTACAGCTCACGGTGGTGGCTGCTCTCCGTTTCGCTTGAATCCAAACAAACTTGTTTCCTGTCCATATCGCGCCATCAAGAAGAAATCATCTGACCACCTTACATACGCTCACGTCGACGGGGAGCGGACCGGATGATGTTGTCAACGCGCAGAAGAAGCTACAGAGGGTCCAGGTTAGCTGTGTTGTTACTAGAAAAGAAATGCCCGATAAAATTCCTTACCTCTGATGCCTCCGATGCGGAGGAAACCACGGCCTTCTTCAGCTTGTAGCTCTCCACAACGCCCAACTCCCGCATGTCAGCAATACCGCCACCGGGGGTCAGCAAGTCGAGGCCAGAGCTGGTCATGCCGTTGTTGATGGCCTGTCGTAGTCGGGTCACGAGGTCACTGGAGTCCAGACCGGCATTGTCGGCCAAGATAGTGGGCAGTTGCTTAAGAGCAATTGCGAAAGAGTCAACAGCCAGCTGCTTCTTGCCCGTGGTGTTCTGAGCGGCTTGCTCAACAGCCTTGGACATGACCATCTCTGCGCAACCACCACCCAGAGTGACACGAGGGTCCTTCACGGTCTGAGAAAGCACGGCGAGGGCGTCGTGGAGAGAGCGCTCAGCCTCGTCAAGCAGCTGCTCCGTAGCACCGCGGAGCACGATAGTGCATGCCTGACCGGCAGCCACGCCGGAGAACTTAAGCAGAGTATCTTCGCCGATGATGACCTCCTCAATAACGTCGCAGTGGCCCAGCTTAACCTGCTCGGGGTGGTCGAAGGTCGATGCAATCTCACCACCAGTGACCAGAGCCAGACGTTCCACACCGTCAAAGTCTGCGTGTTCGATAGACATAATACCGGCCTCAGTGAACAGCTGTTCGGGCCAGTTATAGATCAACTGACGGTTAACGAAACAGTTGATACCATGTGCCTTGATGCGGTCAACCTTAGCCTTCATCTTCTCACGCTCCGCCTTCTCCAGCTCCGCCAGCTTGCCGGTCGAGTCGACCTTAACCCGGGCACCGAAAATCTTAACCTTATCCGTGTCCATGGCTGTGTTGGCGACCAAAATCTTGACGTTCTCCAGACGCTTGGGCTGGTTGACACCAATCTTCTTGTCAAGAATGAAACCCTCGTCGAGGTAGGAATCACTAAGCTTTCCACCGGCCTTCTTGATGATCTGGATGTGACTCAGGTCGGTGGAGCCCTTGAGGCGGAGGACTGCATCGCAGGCGAGGGTGGCGAAGTGTTCACGGTCCTGGGCCAGGACCTTGGAGCTGAGGGTGGTACGAGCGATGGAGTGGAGGTCTTTACGGAAAGACTCCATGTCGGCACTACGGTCGACAGCAGCCTTCGCGAGGGCGTCAAGAGCGGCCCGGCTGGCTATCCGGTAACCATCAATGATAGTCTGGGGGTGGATTTTGCGGTTCACCAACTTCTCGGCCTCACGCAGCAGCTCGGCTGCCAACACGGTCACGGACGTTGTGCCATCACCAACTTCGTCATCTTGGACTTTTGAGATGTTGACCAAAACCTTGGCTGCAGCGTTGTCGAGAGCGATGGCCTTCAGGATTGTAGCACCGTCATTTGTCACGAGGATCTCACCGGTCGACCTGGATAGCTATTAGTGACATGCCCACCATCACAGCCCCGCATCTCCGAATCCAGTCCCACGTACGCTGACTGGAGGATCTTGTCCATTCCCTTAGGACCCAAAGTGCTCTTCACCAGGTCACCGACGGCGATGGCGCCAACGAAGGCGGAGAGACGGGCATTCTCTCCCTTCTCTTCGATGACATCGTCCGCAAAGATCTGCGTAGGATTGGCAGACGCCTAAGAGCGGTCAGCATAAGAGAGAATCAAAAAATAGAAATTGAAAGACGACAGCGTGATCAACTGACCATTATGGATAGTAATTAATGTGAAAGATGGCTACCGTCAAGGGGAAGACTGGCAGCTCGTTCAGGGGGGTTGGATGGGGGGGAAATTTGGCGGACAGTTCAATAATGATTGAATACTGCGGGACGTCCAGAAAAGTTCGCGATGTGGCCCGAGCTTAAAAGCTGCCGCAGACCGCCTGCAACTGCTTCCCTCCTCCAACCAGCATTCGCTCCCATTCCTTTCCACAACTCTCTCAATCCATATTTAATTCTCTCGGAATGGCGGCAGAAGACGAGAAGTCGCAGCCTTTATCCAATAAAAGACCGCACTCCGCGGTAGACGGCAATGAGGATGATGGTGCGCTCAACCTCGAATTGAGAAACCAAACGAGCACAAGATGCTAATCGTAACTCACTCCAGGTAACGACTCTTCCTCCGATGATGACTTCGGTCCAGCTCTCCCGTCTGCAGATGCGCCGAAGAAGAAGCGGCGCAAGCTCCCCTTCGAGAAAGTCTACGTGAACGCCCTGCCCGCATCGCCGCGTTACTCCAAGTCGCTCATGCACAAGGACCAATTGTCCTTTGTGACGATAACACCGCACACAGACTTTCTAATTACGTCGTCTATTGATGGGTTTGTGAAATTCTGGAAGAAGATGGCGGTTAGTGTTGAGTTTGTGAAGGAGTTCCGTGCCCATAATAGCGAAGTGAGGGGCGTCAGTGTCAGCGCGGATGGTAGGAGCTTTGCGACGATTGGAGCCGACAAGACAGTGAAGCTGTTTGATGTGGTTACATTCGGTATGTCAACATCGACAGAATATCAGACGGGAGCTACAGCGAACTAACTACTGGATACAGACTTGCTCTCTATGCTCACGCTCGAGTTCACCCCCCGCTGTGTCTGCTGGGTCCATCGCCGAGGCGCCTCATTACCACTGCTGGCAGTGACCGACGAAGGCAGCAGCACGATCCAAATATTCGACGGCCGAGGCGAAAGCCCAAACCCCCTCCACACCGTAAAGTCAATCCACCGAAATCCGGTAGCTGCAATCGCCTTCAACGATGCGTACGACTGCGTCGTCTCTGCCGACGAGTCCGGCATGATCGAGTACTGGCGAGCGGGGGATTTCTCGTTCGAAAAGCCTGATAACGTCTTCGAACTAAAGTCATCCACCAACCTCTTCGAGTTCAAAAAGTCCAAATCCACCCCAACATCCTTAACAATCTCCCCCTCCGGCGAACAATTCGCCGCCTTCTCCTTCCCCGACCGCCAGGTCCGAGTCTTCGACTTCGCCACAGGCAAGCTCTACCGCAAATACGACGAATCCCTCTCCACTATAACCGACATGCAACAGGCTGGCACAGCAATCCACCAACTGGACGAGCTCGAATTCGGCCGCCGCCTCGCCGTCGAACGTGAGCTCGAAAACCCCATCACCCAACCTAAAATCAACGTCGTCTTTGACGAATCCGGCCACTTCATCCTCTACGGCTCCCTCTACGGCACAAAATGCATAAACACCTACACCAACCGCGTCGTGCGCGTCTACGGCAAAGACGAGCCCTTCCGCTCCCTCAACCTAGCAATGTACCAAGGCCAACCGCAAAAGAAAGGCCTCGTAACAGTCTCCATGGCCGCAAGTTCCAACCCCCTCCTACAAGAAGCCGAAGAGCGCGACCCCATCCTTGTCAGCACAGGCTTCGCCAAAGTCCGCTTCTACCTCTTCACCAACGAAACTGAGGTCTCCAAATCCTCCCGCGACATCCAGAACGAGAAACCCACCCAAACAACCACCGGCCGCGAATCCGCCGAGAAGAAATCAAACGAACTTGGCACCTCCGCTATCCTGCACACCACCATGGGCGATATCCATCTCCGACTATTCCCGTCCGCCGCGCCCAAGGCCGTCGAGAACTTCGTGACCCATGCCCGCAACGGCTACTATAATAATACCATCTTCCACCGTGTGATCCGCAAGTTCATGATCCAGGGTGGAGACCCGTTGGGCGACGGGACCGGCGGCGAGTCGATCTGGGGCGGGGAGTTCGAGGACGAGTTCTCCAGTTTGAAGCACGACAAGGCGTATACTTTGTCCATGGCTAATGCTGGGCCGAATACCAATGGAAGTCAGTTCTTTATTACGACGGAGAAGACACCATGGTTGGATAACAAGCATACTGTGTTCGGGCGAGCCGTGCAGGGATTAGATGTCGTGCATAAGATCGAGAATACGAAGACGTTTAAGGAGAAGCCCGAGCAGGATATCAAGATTGTGAGTATCACTGTGTCTTGATTTTGGAGGTTTATTGTTGCTTTCGCCTGGTAGCGCGGTATTGTTTTTCTTTCTTCCTTTGTTTCAGGAAATTATATATCTCAGATAACCTTACGAGACCGCTTGTTGGAACCATATAAGATATTTTCAGGATCTAGCAAAATTACATTAAGGTCCTGTACTGCAGGCGAATATACCTAATTTACAGTCAGCCGGCAACATGTCACATCCAGGCAAGCAATTCATTGATCTCATGCTGGGTGAGACGAGGAGACATCATGAAGAAAGGAAAGACATGTCCAGGCAAATATAAGCGATGAAGAAAGACGACCCAGCCTCCACGGAGGAAAAGATTACTATGTTCTGCCAAAGCCATGCAACGCAGGTCAGAAGACATGTACACACCATATGGTATCATGTACGGAAAATTTGTACGAAATTGGTCCAGGTAGTGGAAAGAAAGGAAGGAAAAGGAAAAGCCAGCCGAGCACGCAAAACGCCGGATACAAATGCGAGATTAGCAGGAGCGAGCATCGATAACACAAGAGTAGCATAGACGCATTGGAGGCATTACATCGTGCCCGGGAGCTTTTGTCTATGCAACCGCCCTATGGAAAATTCACTAGATGCTGTGTTCGAATACGCTCTGCTTGGGAAAGAGTGGATATGGTAAAAACAGGGTAGACCCAAGCATCACCGGGTTACTTCGCGAGTTTCGACATCGCCTACGTCCGCGGACGGCGGAGTCCTTTGGAGACGTGATGGACGAGGTCCAGGAACGGCAACTTCGGTGCGAGAGCTGCTGGCCACGGAATCTGTGTTAGCATATTCATCATGGTTGATGGGGCTTGGAGCCGGCATGAATTGGCCCGGCTGTTTCGGACCGGGACTGGCATTTTGACCGCGGCTATAGAGAAGTCCGCTGTTGCTACCGCTGTTGCTGCCACTGCCCGCGTGGTAGAGGTTGGGGTATTTCGCATCGTGGCGGCGCTTAAGCCACATTCCCACGATCGCGATTGCAGTGAACCCAACGGCCAGGACAATTACCATGATAACCCATTGGTAATGTGTCGACCACCTAGAAAGGTCAGCAAGGGAGTGACAAAGGGCGCGGAAAAATATATTCCGCCAGTTACATACCAGGATTTGGGGGCGGGATAGGAATTTTGTGATTTGGCGGTAGACGCTGACGTTGATGTTGATGGTGACGCCGCGGCAGTGCTTGCCGATGCGGCAGTACCCTTGTTTTGGCCTCCGGATGAGCAAAAGTCGCTATACCATGTCTGCAATTTTGTGCGGTCGTCTGCGTTGGTGCAGGTGTCGGAGCATGTCCCGTCCGCGGAGTTATGGAGCTGAGTGATCAACGACGACTGGCAAAAGCAAGAGACATAGGTCGAGCGGTCACTCGATTGGGCTGTCGGAGGTACACAGCCAGTCTGGGCTTGTTGGAGGATGGAGCAACTCAAGGCGCACGAAGGGAAGCTATCCGATGCGGCAGTAGGTATCAGAGTGGTGTCATCGTCGGCACGGACGGAAAGCGAAAGAACGAGGGTAATCAGGAGGAGGTGAAGGAGTCGCGATGTCGACGGGACATTGGCAGTCCAGGCCAATGGCCAACGTGCCATGGTGACGAGTAGTAGAATTGCAGTGGAGACCGTCGGAGTAGACGTAGACCTCACAGGAACAGGCGGCCCACCATATCTATATAGGAAAGAAGCGAGAGTCGAAGGAAGCGAGAGCGGGGAGTTCGGAAAGGCTCGACGGTGAGAGAACGAGAGGCACAGGAGTTATATTACTGCGAAGTCACCTCCCGGAGAGTAGGTGGTCATGCGAGGGAGGACCAACGAATAAACGAGGGTGCGGTATGAAGAAAAGTGGAGGAGGAGAAGGAAGAAGGAATGGAAGAGAGAGGGAAAAAGGCAACGCGTGAAGAAAGGGAAAAGGGAAAGTGACTTCTGGAGGTTGAGTAAAAGAGGGTCCAGAAGGAGAGGGAAAAAGAGTCCAGACAAAAAATCACTCCACCGGGCTATTCCGCTTGCGGCCTGAGGACGCCCAAATCACTGGTTTTTTGACTTTTTCTTCTGATTCTACACGACGAACAAGTAATAATTACCCCAGAATCCGATCGTCATTCTGGATATGATTCCCTTCTGTCGACTGTATGTGCTACACACACATGTACATCCATATCCATCATAGATGATCCCTTGAGAACCCAATCGAACGGAAACCGGGAATTGGACAAGATAAGCAGAAAAAAGATCCCCACTCCCCTTACCTCATACCCGTAATCCTATTTCTGATCACCATTCCACTGACATCAAACAACTGACAGTTCAATTTTGCAACTCTCGATCCCAGGAATGTTCAGACTCTCCGCCAAGTGCTTGGGTTACAACCAACCGCTTGCGTCGTGCGACCGGATGCGTCGACGTTGGCCATGTCACAATGACCCATCCCATGCAACTATTTTCCAATAATCCCGTGGCTCCACACGCTGAGCCGAGGGAAATTAGAAAACACCAAAAAGCACCGACCCCATCAGAAGCGCCGGGCAAATGAAATCAAACGAGAAGCGGGGGCAGTGCGGAAATTATACTAAATCTTCGAGGGTCCCCAACTCTCTAGCGCCCTGCGCTTCTGAACAGGTGCATCGGTAGTGTATATCTATTATCAGGTTGTCTTGGATTTATTTTTGGCTCGTGCCTGTCGAGTAACCTTAACACTGCTAGGATCCACGGATCGTCCTCACATGGTTCCTGATCTTCGATGAACCTCTTGATCCGTCACGCAAGGGATATCGCTAGGGGAATGTGTCACTGGCTTGACAGATTCTGTTGCTGGCTACCGGCTCTCGTGGTCGTTTCATCTGCCGCCCGGGTTACAACGGTGACCATCGGTGGACGTTTTATCCCGACCATATTAAGTTGCACTATTGCGCCTCAGTGTTACCTCTCTTTTCTCTTTTCACTGTGTCCGAATTCATCCTTTTTACTATCCTTATCGTTAACACAGGCAAGCCCCCGGTGCGACATGTATGTCTTCTTCACCCTTTGACAGAAATATAAAATAAAATTACAAATACATCAACCAAGTGGTCAACCCGAATTAAAGCCGAACAGAGCCGAAAGCCCTATAATCAAAACTCGACATTGTAGTTTACAATTCTTAACTTGGGGTAAATAACTCTTGCAATATACAGGCCCAATGGACGTGGCCTCACAACTAATTGAACATTTTCCTATTTAACATGTTCTTGCCGCTCAGCCGTAAGAAGATATATATATCTAGTGTTACTATATCTCGGCACACGTTGCCCTAGTAGCAGTTGAACCCAAAAACAATGAGGTTCATAGCCGTTAGGGATATGTTTCAGATCTTTGTTCTTAATGCATAGAATGCATGAGTGGAGCGGCGCAAGAATAGCTCTGACGTGGTGCGACATCGCTTCGAGACACTCGGCCATGAATACAAGAACAAAGACATGGGTAACAAATTGTTCATTTAGTACATTTCTAGTTCATAACGTCATAAAAGTACGTTAATTCATCATGTCCAAACGTCACCGGTAGATTTTCCCATCCTCTGGTACTCCCACCTCCCCGCTCGAGAAACTACAATGTCCCTCCCCGTCCGCATCGACAGAGGTAACCCCCCACTGCACTCTCATCTGCTCCGCTCCCAACTTCCCCTCCTCCTCCTCCTCCTCCTCCACATACGCACTCCCCTTAAGACTCAACGTAGGATGGCAAGCTGCCGCAATAGCCAGGCTACAACTCCCCGCCACGGGCATCCCGGATTCCAACCGCCGGAAACTGAACCCGACCAGCCAGGCCATCATCACCACCCCCACAACGATCGCGCTCACCATAGCTGGAGGAGAGTAGCCGCACGTAATAACGTCCCGCGTGGGGTTCCGTTGTAAGTCCTCGGTGTACGACTCAATCCCGACCAGGAACAGACTCTGCGAGATGAGCCAGTGGAGAATGGCGGAGAAGGTCAACGCCGGGACCGCGAAGCGGTAGGGGAGGGAGAGGAAGTAGCTGCTGCGTTGGGCGTTTTCGGGGGTACCGGAGACACGCAGACCCTTGCGGTGGTTGGCATATCGGCTCCATTCCGCTGCAAGGGTCATGGCGGTGAAGATGGCGTTGAAGGTGAAGTAGATCATCGAGAAGAGCAGTTGGGGGGTGTTTGCGATAAGGGCGTTGGATATGAGTGAGGTTACCCATCCGGTCCCTGTGATTAGGGTCTGGGCGTTGACGGCACCGAGGCCCATCGTCCAGGTGGTCGATTTATCCCTGATACTCGAAACTCCGAATGCACAAAGGGAGATGACGGTGACGATGGCGACGGTATACCTGAATCCCTCGGGTCAGCACAACAAGGAGAGGTGCAAAGAAGTACAAGGCAACACCTACGAGACAAGTCCAAGCAGGTAACGCTTGCCTGAGACTGCTGTGTGCCATCTCTTTGGCGTGCTATTGAAGGTCGACGACTTGTAACTCGGTCGGTAGGGCCGCCTTTTCACGGATTCCGCAGTGAGGAGACATTGGCCCCGTGTAAACTCGTCGGGTCTCTGCATGAAAGATGCGACTGCATCTCCTGTTGTCAATATAGGCTTCGTCGTCGCACTTATAGCTGTATATCCAATGATGATTGCCTTCACCAGGTTGAATGCAACCACGATAATCGCTAATGGGAGGCTGTATTCTAGCTTGCAGCGTTGCGGTGGGCGCTCCGCAAGACAGTATCTGACTCGGTAGCCGTACACGTACCAATTATTCTCGGAAACTTGGTCCTTCACGTCTGGAAGAAGTTGACTACAAGTCCTATATTTTGCCTGTTTTTGTGATGAACAAATCCACTTATACGGGTCTGAAGCTTGAGCTGCGAGATTCTCCACCGGCAGAAAGGTGGCCTGCTGTTGGACTGACTGGTACTGGCCTGCTTGATCGGTATCATTGGTCACAAGTATCAGACTCCCATAGGTGGTCTGGAAGTCCGTCGCATATGCATTAATGCACTGAGACATATCGAGGCGTTGAAGGGTCCCATTCTGCGCTTCGGCATGCAGCCGGAGTAAGACGTCGTTGGCAGTGTCTCCATCGTGGGAGGTGATATTTTGTACATCCAGTTTGTCAAAGCCCTCTGGTCCAATGAATACTCGGTAGGAGTTGGCCGAGGTAATGGCGAAGATGGTCGAGTTGTATCTGGGATGTGCATCAGCGCTTTGAGGATTGAGAAACTAGTTGGCGAATGCAGCCTTACACTAGATGGAGTGGCAGAGATGACAGAACCAAGCACAACCACAAAACAGCCCGTCTTTTAGATACCTGTCGTAGATTTCGGATACTAGGCACACCTATGTCGACCCATCTACCCTTACCGTGAGCACAGTCTATATCCTTCCTGGTCGGTACGGATAAACATTGCTATACAGATACTCAGCAAACCAAGCTGTGCATGGAGATGAGATAAGACACCGACGGACCATGCAGTAATTGCTTGCGCCTAATAGACTCGTACTGAGGATATTGATGGCGAAATGCAGACCCGTACTCATATGCTGCACTTTCTCACAATTTCCGTCATACAGAGTCCCCCGATTTTGCTCTACCTTATGGTGCACAGCAGCCCATATGACAAAACCGAGATTGAAGGCCAGGACGAGGACGCTCGCAAACGACGCCAATACAAGGGTGAATCTCCATCCAGAATACCACTCGTTTATTCGCGTTCGAAAGGATCTGTGGACTTTCAAGGGGAATTGTGACTTGCTTTCTTTATCGCTATGGTCGAGTGTTTCGTCACTGTGGGGCGAATCGATCATTCTATGGGATTCATCATCTTGCTCCATGCTGTTGCTTGCAGAAGCGACCGTGCATGAGAGATGGTGTAAAAATGAGGGGAACGTAGCGGAGAAGTAGTTTATCCCTTGACGAGGCTGTGTTCGGTCAGATTTTAGTCGAGTTGGGACAATCAATACTCTGCATTTTCTGTGTTCAGCAACCTCTAACCCCCATGAACCCTACTTCGAATCTGCAGTGAGTTCTGCTCGGACAACATGTCATACTGCGATACATTTGTTTAATCTAATGAGTAGTATCGGTCGGAACCATGGTCGAAGTGCAGATGATACGAAATGCATGCCATGTAGACTCGCACTCGCATCTGGCCCCCAAATTGCTAGCAATGTAGGGTTTCGAGGTGACCTTCAGGCTCACGATCTAAGGTTGGGGTAGATTTAACCCCATGTATTATATATTAGTACCATTCAACTTAGTATGTTCTTTTATCATGCGGCCTATCTTACCAGAGGCGCTCTTGTTGCCTACTTTTACAGTCTTGCGTTGTATCGTCGATCTCATTGATCCTCAGTGGGTTATTTAATCGGGTTGGATTTCCGAGATAGTGTTCTACATGGTATACATAATCCTTCTGGTCTTTCTTCCTTGGGACTTTAGTATATAATAAAGCTATTCGTTCCCTGATAAATGTCACTGTTTTTGAGATTCAACTCGGTAATATATAGAGAGTCTCGCAGGGGAGGGATTGTCTGTATACTGGAGGCACTGCATATACCACCCATATCTCCATATGGCAGGGTGTTGTGTGTTGAGAAAACAGGAAAAGGCTGCGTGACCCATTTGGCTCTGTGATGTAAATTCACTTTCCTGATATATTGGACACTGACTCCCAGGAGGTATACTTCTGAAAGATCCAGTCAAGAGGCAGTCAAGTATTCTACTGCCCTGTTGATAAATTTGTAAGTCAACACCTCAAGCTATATAACATCGTCCAGGAAAGCCCTTAACAATCTTCCATTAAACGAGTATCAATCACTCCACACTATTAAAGGACAACAAACCTCAAACCAATCTTCTGTGCTATATAAACGCACCTACAGATACACGCATTTAAATGTTTAACCCTCATTACGATTTCCCATACTTCCATCAAACAACCCACCCAAACCGAACCAAACCAGAACCCTAACCCAAAAACACAGCCCCGGATGACATCAAGACCGACGAAACCTAGTCGCAGAGACCCCAGCATAGCCTCTCAATCTGGACCTTATACGCTCCAGGCTGTACAATCCTCTTTACTAAATACGGCAATCTCGCCAAGACTCGAACTCGTTCCACACCCGCTCGCACCGAGAGCTTATTTATCGTCGCGGCCTGGTCCATGTACTCAGTAGCGTGGTCCAACGATTTGCATACCCGCTCATCAATTCTCCTCTGTGGGTTCTTGGCGAGTAGATCTGACAGTTTGATCCAGGCAACGACTTAACGGACCTATTAGAGTGCTTGGTTGGGTCCGGTAAGGCTTAGAACGAGAAAAATGCGAGGTGCGAATACGAGATCCACCTATCGTGAAGCTTGGGGTTTGCTGCGATGTCATTGGTTGGTTGGGGATGGGTTTGGATGTATGAATATTTTGTATAGTGCAAGAGTTGGGATATAAAGGACTTCATGAGTTGCGAGAGTGTACTTGTTAGAACATATCAGTGCTTCAGATATTAAACAAGGTTGCCAACATCTTTTCCATCCCCCAATATCAAACCTCCGCAAAGATACCCCAATCAACCCTAACAATGGGCGACTCAATCTACTTCTACAACCCATCCCTTGCCGCCTCAATCCTCTTCACAATCCTCTACACCCTCCCCTTACTCTACCATACCTACCTATCCATCATCGCCCCATCCACAGGCCGCCGCCCCCAAACAAGCTACTTCATCCCCATCGCCATGGCGCCGCCACAGAAGTAGCCGCCTACGCCATCCGAGCCGCCAGCGTAAAACAACCCGACAACATCGGCCTCTACGCCACCTCCGCAACCCTCATCGTGGTGGCCCCCGTCCTCGTCTGCGCCAGCCTCTACATCCTCATCGGCCGATTGATCCGGTCCGGTGGTCGTGCCGCCCCCAGCCCGAACACCGAGACGAAGGAGCCGGTACTGCTGTTCGGGAGGATCTCGCCGTCTTGGATACCCCGGGTCTTTGTTACGTCGGACGTTATTAGTTTTCTGACTCAGGCAGCTGGCAGCGGGATTGCTTCGTCGAATGATTGGGAGGGCCAGGAGAAGGATATTGGTGTTGGGGTGCTGATTGCCGGGTTGGTGCTGCAGCTGGTTACATTTGCTTTTTTTCTTGTGGTGGTGGTTTGGTTTGATCGGTGGTCTCCTAGGGCTAGGGGAGAGTCGGAGGTTGAGTCTGGCGTGAGGTCTGTTTTGAATGGGATTTATGAGGCGGGGTCTTTTATTACGGTTCGTATATTTATATTTTCTATGATTTTTTGATCGTTTGAGGGGCTGCTAACAGTGTCTATTGTGTGCTAGATTCGACTGATCTATCGCGTTATTGAGTTCTCGATGGGTATGGATACTTATACCTGGACTCATGAGTGGCCGTTGTATGTCCTTGAGGCCGTGCCGATGTTGATGGCCATGATGGTTCTGGGTTGGTATCACCCCGCTAGGTGGCTTCCTGCTGGACTTGGTGCGAGGTCGAAGTAACTACTTGGTTTTGTGTGGTTCGATGGTGATGATGTTGTTAGACTGTGTCTTGGTTATGTTTGTTTGAGATTCTTGTCTGTGATGGGTCCCACATATATTTCACATTCTATACCATATTCAACGCAGATGTGTTCTCCATAGAGCTCGAGCTCGAACCTTCAAGCGAAGCTCTATCCAAGGTAATAAAGCGAAACTGCCACTCCACCAACCTACGTACCTCAGAAGGCAAGCACTCATAGATATCAAGACCCCTCTGCAGTAGCGGTAATTCCTCCTTCGGAAACATCAACAGCCTTGGTTCCTTCAGTATCCGAAACACGGGCCGCAACATAATGGAAGCGACCACAAAATGCAAAAACAGAAGACGCGAGACATAATTCCCCGGATCCAGGAATTCCATAAACTCCCGATTACTCATTCGCCCCCAGTCATCATAGAACTCCGTGAAAGCGACGAAGCCATCGCGCGCCGAGCGCTTCAATGAATCGTACGTATTGAACAATGCCCTGTAGGCGTTGCGGTGGCTTTCACACGATAACAATGGCTCGATGCTTTGTATGGTCTCGACTGATGTATTGAGATTCTCAGCGTCGGCGTATGGCGTGGGAGGGATTCGCGGTAGAGTGTTAGTAATGATGGCATCGTCTGTGAGCAATTTGAACATCTCGCTTCCTTTGTATTTGTTCAGGATCCGCCGTGTTATGATGCTGCAGCCTCGGACCATGATGGCGAAATCGACTAGCCCGTCTGCCATGTAGTGGGCCTGGAATGTGAGCGCATATACTGTGGCTAGCATTATGTCCAGCTCGGTTTTGTTGCATTGGTCTCCTTTGGCTAGCTCGTTGCTTAGCATTCTCAGTGCCTGGCCTTGGTGTGTGACGGCTAGAGTTTTGTATTTACTTCCATCTGGTATGACTAAGGAGAGATGGGTGGCTCCTAGACATAGGATTGCATGCATTAGGTGTGGACACTGTAGGTGTTAGAATTCACCCCGCTTTGTATTATAAGAATAGTCCTCTGGTGGGAAGCGAACCTTGTGTGCAGAAGCTGGAAGACTCGTCTTCCATAGATCTTCACTCCCAAAAGGGAGATACGGATATGCAGCTATCAAGAAGTGGTGAAAGGACCGTAAATCATCCGCAGTGAAGGTGTGAGGCAATACACGGTGCTGTGAGCTCAATTCCACTGCTGACTCTGATTGCGTTATAGTGTAACTCGACGAAGATTCATAGCTCCTTGGTAGTAGTTGCCTATGGCGGCCAAGTGGACTCGCATGTCGACGACGCAGCGACAGTTCATTGGAAGGGTATATACACGGCATGTTCCGGCCGATGCAGTTGGCACAGGGGTGAGGCTGCGTTTCTTGACACTGGTAGATATGTCAGCCCCGCAGCTTTCAAATCCATTGAGGTAAGTATTAGTTACCTTGACTCTTCGGGCCTTGCAGTTGAAGCAGCCATGACGCGATTTCGTATGAGGTCGTTTAATCCGATGCTGCTCTATCCGGACTCTAGGAATGGATCCTGATATGGAAAATGATGGGTGCGACGAACCACTCATCTGGAAACGTGCCAACTGAAATGAATATTCCATTCTTGTGCTGAGCGACTATCTCTGTCTTGTGTTAAGTTCAGTTTCAATGTCGTGGTGAACGGTGAAGATCTCGATAATGACGATGGCAGGCAACCAGTTTTCGGTCCAATACGAGGCGACAGCCAATCAACTGCTTCTGCTATAATTATCATGATTTTGCATAGATGTGTTAAGCATCGTTAAATGAATTATTCATAATCCTTAATTGCTTGACTATTGGTGGATATAGTAGTAAAGTCAACGGGACTTTCCAAGTCCTGGAATATTGGACTCGTGATCTACCTTACTCATGGGAAACAATCGATTAGAGTAACGTGAACTCTATCTGCCTGGCAAAACGATTCTTGAATAGAACTTGAACTGTATAGAACCTGCTCCTCATTTCCTTAACGCATGTTGGAATTCATTCGTTACGGCTTCCCATTTGTGATTCTGCTTATATCAAGTACCCACCTCAGCAGGTTCGACTAAAATACATCCCAGATCTGCTCGACACCTGCGCTTCGCCCTTGAATTAGAGGTGATGTGGTTCTTGCTCTACCCAGGCGGACTTAACTAGTCTGACACCTTGATCAAAAAGCCATCGGATTTTCTTTCTACCTGCATGGATTCTTCCCACTCTGATTCGCGTCTATACCTTTATATGTCTTTAAACCCCTTTTTATAGTGAAGCATAAAGCATGAAAAATCGATGAAAGATATCCTTAGTCCCGCGGAGGCACTCCATCTGTAACATCCCCATAAGCTGGAGTACTCCAGTCCCCGAAACATGCGTACTCAAACTGGGACCTCTCCAAGCTCTTTCTTTGTACCTTCAAGAACGTGTCAAGCTCACACCATCCGTCATCTCGATATTCACACTCAGGGAAGCTGGCATGGAGAGGAAGAGTTCGCTGATTTTGAAGGAAATGAACGTAATATGTGTCTTTCGTGTCTTTCAGGTAGACGCCGTGGGTCTCGTTTCGGGATCGCTCCGTTGATACCTTATGAGGTGCTCTTATAATCTCAATGTTTGTGCGACCAGCGAAAGGAACAACCTTGCTGGTGGAAAACTGCTGATTCTTTGGAGGGCCCGTCGGAGGCAAAAACTGGGCAAATTGTCCGAATCCGAATGCCGTAAGCGTCGCGAAGATATCAGCGTCATGTGTGAAGTCAAGATAGAGATTCTGGTCTACCGGAAACGTAACTGGATTAGTGGCCAAGGTCATGTTGGCATTTGTGCCGGTTGTCTGTAGGACATGGCCTTCCACTCGGGCGAGGAACTCCTCGACCCACGCGATTCCCTGGGCGCGTCCGGCCGGATTCTGAAATCCCACCATGGCAGTAAACATGAGATCGTACGCGTAGCTGAAGTGTTCAAACTCTTTATAAGTAAAAAGCTGGCAGAATTGGCTGTAGCCAAAGCTAATCGTCTCGTATACGCAGAGAGACTGAGCATTGTGTGAATCAGTAGTGGTCCAGTTATAGGACCCGGAAAGCTCTTTCAGCACCGTAGTACGCTCCTTGAGGTATATGTTGATCCATTGGTACATGGGTTCATAGATTGATGAGTTGGCCATGACGGTCATAGCATTGGTGCAGGAATATGTTCCAACAAGAGAGTTGTTGAATCCTACACTTTCGATCATTGCTAGTAGGTTGGCCTTGCTAGTCCAATCCAGGCCGAAGAAGCCAGCAAGAAAGTTCTCCGCCGATTTCAGCATGCGATCCTGTGTCGTCGTGCGTGCCACGAGCTTGTGGCCAAGACTTTCATTGTAAAGATGCCCATAGTTGTAATAATTCAGGACCCCACTATCAAACAGCTCTTGGCGACCCTTCGGAACAAGTATTTCAGCCCCAAGGCCATAGCTCCAGTCATTGAGGAACGATAGAGCGCCCTTGAAGCGGTTGCCGGCAGTCGTAGAGTTCTTGATCCCCTCGGCCCAGGACGGAAACCCCTCCGACGAAGAAGGATATCGGGAACCGTGCCTATGCAGCATATGCATTTGGGTGATGTTTGCTCCAGCCGGAAGGGGATATTCGTCGACCCCGAAGCCATCTTCTGAGGAGAAATAGGGACTATTACATCATGAGACTTTGATGTTTTCGTATCACTGGTTGAGATTCGCCTTTTCAGTTACCTACCTCAGGTTACCAGCATGGTGGAAGATGTTGCGCCCATGCGCTCCTGATATAGGTTGATCTGTCACTAAAGGGTCATTGGCAATATACGCCCCATGACTGGAGAAAGCTGGATTCGTTTCGGCGAGGAAAGGTGCAGAGCCGGTGGCAGTTGGACCTGGGATTCTTAAGCAAAGACTCTATAGGAACCGTTGCCCGAGTCCAAAACCCACCTTGATAACTCTGGGGAGACGTCTGGAACCACTTCGGCTGTGTCGTGCCAGTGGCTCTATCTGAACTAGCCGCAGTAACACCCACCCAAGAGGCAGTAACCAAAGGGAGTGCAAAAAGCATGTCCTTCATGATGAAGCATCGATAGGATGCTTTCGCCAGACTAGGAAGCGGGGAAACAATAGTAGGCACAGTTGTAAACTGTTTCCAAACATCTCAAGACAAGCAGGTTTTATAGACGCCATGTTAGACTCGTTGCTAGAGACGGATGCCGGATTTCCCGAGAGGCTAGTATTGAGTCAACACAGATAATTGTTGCTTTATTAGGTCCAAAACTTCATTAATGCATGAATCGCCAGTTGGTTCTTGGTATATGGGCACGTGGGTGGCCATAGTTGTCGTCCGAAAAGCCATGATATCCACCTTGATGTGCGGAGGATGGGCCATTTCCCGCACCAAGATAGCTGTATGCAATTAATGCCATCGTATTGTAGACCGATCTTGTTGGCTCAATTGCGCACGTGGGTAGATGATTTGGTGAATTTCTCTGGACTCTCTAGTAACTTAGCGTGTATAGAATTGCCGACAGTGTCTAGCGCCTTTTTTTTTTAATTACGATTCAAAAGGGGTTGTAACTGGAGCACGTGCTACCCCAGAATGTACAGAGGTGTGCGTCGGGTCTTTCTTTATCCTGAGGCCATGCCACCATAAGGCTTAAATCTGGTGACGGAAGTTCCCGCCCCAAAAGGTGGGTCTTGTCTGTCAATGTTCTTCATTGCTCGGATGCCGGAAGTTATGATTTCTGCTTATGCCAAGTTCTGATAGTGCTACTAATTTAAGGGTCCTGCGCTATGTTCGCCATGACAAGAGTCTGCCTCTTATAAAAGCCTTTCAAGTTACATTAGTACATTGACGAGGTCTTGATGTTTCTGATCTCAATCAGCCCTAATCATTCACACTTAACAAAACTATACCTTGCATGTACTAAACTATTTGCGGCATGATTTCACAAGAATCCCAAGTACATACATATCCAAGGTAAATATATGGGAATGTTAGCTATCTCAATAATGATGCTACCCAGGAATGTTGTTCCCCTGAAACACCACAGCCTCAGTCACGAGGCTGTACCCGCGCAATCCGCCGGACCCTAGTAATCAGAACACCCCTGCATAACCACTAGTTAATCTACTCCGGAGTATATAATCACCTTCTTCCCATAGGCGCTGACCCAGAGAATCTTTCCCTCGGAACCTCTCCCCTCTAGAATCGATCGGCCACCATGATCCAATTAAAAGTAAATTGGCCCCCACCCCATCCCACATAACCAACCCATTTTAACACGTCCAGGAACTTCCCCCTCCACCTCCATATTCAGAAACGCAGCCCCCATCCTACTCAAATGCCACTTACGATGAAGAAGCCGCCTTCGAGGGAGCTGAGTTCACAGGGTTGGAATCTGACCCACGCAACACTATCCGCCCAGGTGGCACCCAGCGTTGGTGGGCTCGCAACTTTAAGCGCCAACTCTTTTGTCTGTTCTGTGTGGTCTTGGCGGTAGCGGTGACGCCATATCTGGTTTTGGTTATTCTGATGAGCCAGTGGAGGTTCTAGTTCCCGGGAGCACGCCCTGAGTGGGGGTTCAAAGCCCTGAGCGGTGCTGAGCTGGGAATAGGGAAACCTGTGATACGTTACCAGTTCATGGCTGACTTGTGACAACTTGTGCGCTGTTTTCTGTGGTCGTATTTTATGGGAATAGACGTTCGCAGGGGGGGCTATGAAAATCTCGATAAAGTGAGATGGAAAAATACTGTACGTGGTATTTCAATGTCAGTCTCCCTCGTTGCTGTTGGCATTCTTCAGGCGTTTTGTGACCCCAGCTCTCCCGTGGCAGGGTTGAGAGAGAGGCAATTTGGACGACAAAGGTACCAGGAGAAAACTAAGGCGAAGAGACCAACATGAAGATGGCTAAATAGAGCTTTATACAGCAAGTTTTCGATCGGCGTTACAAGATAGAAAATGAGCGAAAGCACAAGAGGTGAAAAGATTCCTTATGCTCGCGAGGAATTATAAGCATTCCCAAATTCAAATCTTTCGGCACGTTCATATGTCCACGTACGACTCCAATATGGTGAACTATTAATGTGGGCCATAGCTTTGACAGCGCCCATCGTTGCGCGGATCTTGTCTCGCTTAGCTTCTTTAAAGTATGAGCACATAATATCAAGCTTCCACCAAAACAGAGTTCTTTTGTTCAGCTTTTTGAAGGTATATCTCTCCGCCTATGATACTGCAAGCTCAACCTCCCTCGTTATTTCTTCTGCAAGCATGGCAATTACCCGTGTTTCTGCCATATAGATCGAGCGCATCAACGGGGCTTGGTTAAGCTTTTTATATTCATTGCTTTATTCGATGCAAATGTAGTCGACCCAAGATGACTCGTTCCCGCTTTGGATAGCGAAGGCAATGCAGAGCGTATATAAACTTGGTGTTACATGGAACGGATGTCCTTCAACAATAACCCCCATACATACGAAAGAGCCTCAAATTTGGCATTTTGTCGAGTGATGCAATATTGAGGGGGGCTTTTCGATTCTTATCAGGGAGGATGGTAAGCAGTCGGATTTGCTTTTGTTTTGCGAGTGCTTCATACTCGAAATTCATTCGGCATGAATTCAGAATTTGGAGGGTGTACGACGATTGATTGCTCTGGCTTAGAGACGGGGCATATAATACTACTCTAGTACTAGTAGTGCTCCCTTTTTATCCAAGATAATGCGGGGTATCCTAACTAGTAATACTACTAGCTACCGTAGCTATAATTAGATCCTTTTTTGCCTCGTCAGACATGTACATATGTACATACATTGTTCTGATAATCCTGTACTCGTCATATCTTTTGGCCCCTGCGATTTGGTGCGCTGGTTAGTGGGATTGCCCGGTTGCCTAACATTTACTCACTGTTGGGATCCGGTCACATTGGAAGCAGAAAGTGTTAGTTTTCTATCAGCGAGTACGAGCTGTGAAAAATCATAACAATACAAGGAGCTCTAAGTAAAGACTATGCCACCATCCACCAATATTGTCTGCCCTGTCACAAAATCCGAGTCTTGACTCGCCAGGAACCCTCCAACCAACCCTGCCACATCCTCCGGCTCACTCGTCCGTCCCAAAGCCGCCTTATTTGAATATAACTCTTGTGTTTCCCCCTTCGATCGGCCCTCAATCGTGCCCAACTCCTCATCAATCTTATCCCACATGGCTGTTCCCACCACCCCTGGCGCATATGCGTTGACCGTAATCTTGTGTGGTGCCATCTCCATCGCCATCGCCTGCGTCAATCCACGAACCGCCCACTTGCTGGCCGAATAGATCCCCAGCGCTGCAAACGCCCTGAAGCCAACGATAGATGAGGCCCCTACGATCTTGTACACACCAACCCCGGCAGCAGATTGCGGATCACCCTGCGCGACCATCTGGCGAGCCGCGTGAGTGTAACAATTGAACACGCCCTTGAAGTTTACTGAGAATACCGCATCAATATCGGCCTCAGTGACGTTGAGAAGTTGTTTTATTTGCGCGATGCCTGCATTCGCAACCATCAGGGTCAACGGACCAAGCCCTTCCACTGTACTTCGAACCATATCTTCCACCGCGGAAGATGAGGTCACGTCAGCGGCTATACCAATCGCCCGGGGACGAGAAGAGGATGTCGCCCCTTGAGTACCCATAGAATTTATTTCATCGACAACTGTGGCAATCTCATCGCCTGCACCAGGTATATCGTTAATGCAAATCGAATAGCCGTCTCTTGCAAGACGGAGGGCAATCGCCTTTCCACTGGCATACGTTCAACACTAACCATACTAGTACAGGTATCAGGAGGGCGTTACTTACATCCCACGCGCTGAGCCGGTGACAATAGCTACTCGAGGCATTTCAATATTTCAATTTCAGTCAGTCGGACGGTTTATAAGAGGAGGAACTGCCCAAAGGGTATCCTTCATTGACTTGCTTTATATATACACTGATGTGGCTGCCCCGCTTCTTGGGGGAAAATGAGGGGAAGATGTCATCTTGCCCGGGATTGGTTACGTCTCTTATTCACTCAAGTACTACTTTTACATGCTTTGTACTTCTGAACTGTTCTAATTCCGCGTATAATCCTGTATTCTGGGCCTCAATTACCCCGTACATCCGTGGTATTCGATCATCACCCAATGGGCACCACACTAACTCAATTATGTAAAACTTGGATGACACTGCAGAATAGTAAAGATAGCTAATCAGGTTATTGAAGCATCTTAGTTTCTCTGTAAGAAGAGGCCCACGGAATTATGCAAGGTCGGGGGTTCCTGTCATTTAGTTTGGACTACGACTCCTTATTTCCTCAGACTTGCTTCAAGCTACCTACGTCAGCGGTAGTATGTGTCCCTGCCTGATTAAGTTTTGCAATATATCTACACACGGTCAGACTGGTCAGTAGTTAGCGGATTGTCTAAGTATGATGAAGAACACCTAGTCACTCTTCGCGGTCGGATATACTCAGAACTGTACTTTATGAATACTATCGACTTCTATGTCTATAGGTCGAGGTTCCTACCCGTAACCAGACCTAAAAACAAAAGAAACATGGCTACATGAAAAGAATAAGGAGAAGAGGGTAAAGTTGTAGCTAGGAAAGTGGCAGCCTACTCAGCATTCCACGTACCCAGGATATCATATGCCTAGAATTCCAGTGATGTTGGACACCTCACTTGAACGTATATGGATGAGCTGGTGACACACAGGAAGGTTAGCAGTGGTTCATGACTATCTGACTCCATGTGATTTTGTTGCTCTTGCCGTTTGGATTGCGTCATACGAGCTGACTGCTAGTAATATGGAGATGCTTTAACTCCCAGTGGCTATGCCTTTGTCTGACTTGAGGGAAAACTCAGTGCTTGCTCCTTTAGGATTATTTCATTTGTCTTATGTGTCTAGGTGTCATGGTGCCCCGCCCAATTGAGAAGGATTCTTTTTACTTGGGCAAGAAGCTGTTGAACTACTCCACTGCAATACCATGAACCTAACGAACTTTCCGTTTGTTCTTAAACCTAATGTCGGCTTGTCGAATAAACGTGACTGATGTCGATCAGCCGAACCTAGTTTGCACCCCCATAATTACGAGGATCCACTCGGTTCATGTCAAGCGAGTACGAGTCAACCTTATCTAGGAAGCGGCCATGGAGATCATGGATTGAACTATAATACTATAAAACAGCAATTCTAATTCCCCGAAAGCTCCGGCCTCCCAGCAATGCATACAGCTCTAGGAGAACCCGACTCAAACACGCCTATACCGCTACCATGAACCCAAATCTAGTCTTATTTCTGATCACAATCTCTTCCCTCCTCCCCACCATCACCGCCCAAACTTTCCCCCAGATAGACTTAGGCTATGCTATTCACACCACAACGTTCATCAACACTACCGAATCTGGCGCTAAAGTCGGCCTATACAACAACATCCGCTTTGCGCAGCCACCCACCGGCAACCTCCGCTTCCGTAAACCAGTCACTCCCCCGTCCCACGAAGACGGCATCCAGGATGGTCGAGATCGACTCACAACCAGTGACTGTGTCAGCACTGTGCATCCGCAGGCTCCATACCCGGGGATAAATGGGACCTCCTGGGGGCAGGAGGATTGTCTTTTCCTGAATGTGTGGGTGCCGGAGGGTGTGCGCGAAGGGGACAATGTGCCGGTTATGCACTGGCTGCACGGGAGTGCGTTTGCATTTGGAAGTAAAGATATGTTCGGGGATGGGTTTGGTCTCATGGAGTCGACCAAGGGAGGGGAGGGGAGGTTTATCTTTGTGGCGAGTAATTATCGGTTTGTTTCCTTTTCCGTACTTACGATTAGCCTTGTTGATCATGTTTACAGGATGGGTTTGTATGGGTGGGTATCCTCTGCGCATGAAGATATGGATGCCAATGTGGGGCTCTATGATGTTATTGCGGCACTGGAGTGGACGAAGAAGTACATCTCTCGGTTTGGGGGTGATCCTTCCAATATCACTGTCGGTGGACAGAGCGCGGGTGCTGGTATGATCGCCATGATGCTTGTAGGGAAGGGTGGGAATGGCACTCTTCCCTTCCAGAAAGTGAGCTTTCTTCCTGTTTCGAATATAGATAACTTCTACTGACTGTTAAAGGCATTTCTGTCATCTCCTGGTCTCATGCCGAGAAGGAACGTAACAGAGCGTCGCCAGGAGGTCTATGATCAAGTTTTACAAGCTGCGAACTGCTCGTCCCTCACCTGTCTTAGAGATGCATCACCACCCGCCCTAGCTGCCATGAATAAAAAAGCTCTAGAGCTCCCTGGCAACTCAGGAGGAGGCACCTTGGGTCCTGGAATTGGTATTGGCCCGTTCCCAGACGGAAAATACCTACTCGATGCAGTTCCCGTTATGCTCCAACAAGGCCGGTATCACAAGAATATCAAAGCGGTAATGTCTGGGAACATGGCAGCAGAGGGATTTGGGATGACTACAGATGTCAGCACGTACGAAGACTTTGCCACGTTGGTCCGACGCCTGGTCCCAGGAGCTAGTAATGCCACCGTTCGGCATATCCGGGACATGTATCCCTTCCCAGATTCGCAGATACAACTGGTTGCAAATTCTTGGACGACTGATGCAGTGTTTGCCTGCAATGCGAGAGCTGTTGCAAAGGCTTATGGAAATAGAACACAACGGTATTTGTTTTCGGTGCCGCCGGCTATACATGGATTGGATTCGTACTGTGCGTTTTCCCATTTTCTGATTACTTTACGTGATAGAAATACTGATGGCTACAGACTATTTCTATAGATCGGATGCCGAATTGCCTGTTCCAGTAAACGGTTCTCTCGCCAGACAATTTCAGTCAGAAGTCGTAAAGTTTACTGCAGGAAAGTCAAACCAGAATAACAGGACATCCGACTGGCCGTTGTATGCTCCAGGTGCAAAGATGGTCAATGTCACGGTTGAGGGAATTGAGCAGAGCGTTGATCCTTCGGCTAACTGTGAGATTATCTTGAAGACTATCATGGATAAGAGAAACGGGGCATGATAGTCTGGAGGAATCAGCGATAGAAATTGAAAGCCTGGCATACCATTACTTCTACTACCGACTACTTATATATCGGTGTATATTATTTACGCACGGTATTCTATCCCCAGAACCCTCAATCGCAATCGCAAACTAGCCCTATCGACACATTATCCCCATAGATCTACCTCTATCCACAACTCCACCTCTCAATAAACCCACCACAGAACCAACTCATAGAAATAAACCCCCTTAACCCAATCGATAAAGATTAACAATATCCTGATCCTTTTTGGGTCCCTTCACAACATGCCGACTAGCCCAACTAACCACCTCCCCCTCTCCCCTCACCCGAAAAGCATAAGCAGTCCGATACATATCATTAATACAAAGATGATTCCCCCTCGCCTTGAAAACCACCGTATCCTCCCCATCCACCAACGGGGGTACAGGCGCATCCACAAACGTCTCCTTATCACCCCCACCCTCACCTTGACCCTGACCCTCCTCGCGAAACTCAAACTCATGAAACAAATAATCCGGCGCATCCTCGCCGGCCCCCACCTTCGCAAACCAAACACTAATAACCCCCGCCTCACTCAACCGCCAGATATATTTCTTCGTGAAGCGCAGCCCCACCCCGACGCCGAGATTCGCGCGTAGACCTGGCGGGGCAGGCATTTCACCTTCTTCGTGGTAGAGGAGGTCTTTTGGTGTTATTGTGGGTGGTGGTTGGTTTTCCGCATTGCTATTTGTATTTGGATTGGAGGTGGTGAGGAGTGTGAAGGTTGCTGTACCGTGGAGGTCGCCGTTTATGTCGAGAGGGTTGTCGCTTTTGAGGGTGCGGTGGAGGGTCCATTTTGTGGTGGGACGGGTGAGGGAGGTGAAGAGGGTTGTTAGGATGGTGGGGGTTAGTTGGGGGCGCATTTTGGGGGTTGTTGGGCTTGTCGGCGGTGGTGGTTGGGTCATTGTTTTGTTGGCATGTCTGGGTTTTGAAGTGAGATTGTGCTGCTGGTGGTGTTGGAGATTAGATTGACATCGAGATAAAATGGTGCAGCCTCCACTGTTGGTTGGTGGGACGCGGGGTGGGACTTGGTTTCGGTTTGGGTTTAGTGGGTCGCGGCTGGGCTTTTAGAAGTGAACTACTAGTACTCCACACTACTAGGAGGAGACATTGTCATTGTCTAGTACTTAGGTAGTACGAGTAGGTAGACTAACCTATATATATGAAATTCCGGGGTTTCTTTTCAAACGGTAATTATAACCTTAGTATAAAATAAATGGACTCAGCTACAAATACAAGCCGTGCTATAAATTTGGTATGCCTGTACCATTTCTTATATGAAATAAGACAACATGAATCTACCCACAATCAATCAAAGGCAGGTATACCTCTACAAATAGGTCAAGCATATATGGCAACTGGAACCTACTACTAGTAGTAGGTGCCTATAATGGACGCTTCGTTCCGCTGTCCAATGGTGTTTGTTCTCGCAGCCTGGCAGCCTTGCAGCCTGGCTTTGACCCCGCCGCTTCTTTCAAAACAAAGCAATACAACCTAGCCCATGCCTTTCACTGCCCCATACTGTCTATACGTATCGATCTGTTATATTCAGCACATAGGTAGCTGAGGTCTATCTCATTAACTCCTCAACCATGGCGGACTCGACGATCTCAGCTTCTCCTGATGTCCGGATTGCGCGGCAGGGAAAACATCGTCGGCGAGGCGGCCGTGGTCAGAAGCAGAGTAAAACCCATGGCCAGCTCTCCAACGGTGAGCAGCATGATATGGCAGGAGCCATCACCGGTGTTCCATCTGAAAGTACAATGGATGTTCGCCAAGACAGAGGGAATCATCGCTCTCGAAGGGGAAGTGGCCGGCGGGCAACAGCACGCCCGAATCATCATACTCCTCGATCAAACGAGAAGTATGAGACTGCTAGGTAATAATCCTTATTGAGAACCTGTAAGTGGGTCACACTGCTAACATCTTGAGCGTTTCGCCAGCCGAATACGTCCATCGCCATACAGGAACCACTTAGCAAAATCACAACCCGCCAAGCTATCGCCAGAACAATTGCAGGATATTCTGGAGGCGACTCTGTCTGATATTAATCACTCCGGGTCATTGGGTGTCACGATTGTCAGCAGCTGGGCCACGGAGACGGGTCTTGCCAGAATCCGAGAGATTATTGAAGCAGACTTTGCCCGATCCTATAGTGTGACCCGGCTGATGTTTGACCCCCACTGTGTTCTTTTCCTTCGCTTGATATCATATATCTCACGGGAAGAGATACAGCACTCGCTTATTCTTGAGAAGGACGTGGGAACTATCTTCAATGTTATCTATGGGCCGCGTGGGGATAGGGGAGTTGCATTCTTTCGACGGGTTGTGAGCTATCTGGCTCACCTACGGGAGATGAACAACGACATTGACCATGATGATGGGATAAAGTACGAAGAGGTGCTCCTACATGTCACAGAGGCTATTCTGAGCACCATATTGCAGATACAGGAGGCGACCTTCAAGTCAGAGTTGAAGGGTATTGTAGAAGATCTTCGCAGCTGTTCGCCTCTTAGTGAGATAGAAAGAGTTCTCACTAAGCCCAGTCTACGTCTTGCCAGGGAAAACATGTTGAAGATCCAGGACATATTTGGAACAGGAGATAGGATTTCCGCCTATGTACCGAAGGCAGATATAGATCCATCAGAAAAGCAACAGTCCCAGCCTGAAGTCGACCCTCCTGGAGAGTTATCGAAATATGGTCCCCGTCATAACAATGATCACGCATCAATATCTAACATCAACATATTGCCCACGTTGTCAGAGATTTTACATAGTCAACGACTCGACTTTCTTCCCACTCGAGATAGTCTATACACCCCGGACAGACATCATGAGAAGGGAGTTCGCCAGCTTCTAGACACACATTTTCGTCTCCTCAGAGAAGATACGTCTGGCATTTTGCGTGATGCTGTTCGCGTGATTATTGATCATTGGGAAGCGCTTGTACACGGCACTCGATGGCAGGAGAAGAAAAGGTTGCTACGAACTCACAGTCCTACCCCCGTTCGCATATACTACGGAGCTCAGATCAGAAGAGTAAAACCACACCGTGTAAAAGGGATGGAGATCGATGTGGAATTTGACCAGGTTGCCAGGATAAAGAACATGACACCCTGGAAAAGGAAGCATTACTGGCGCGAGTCTCGCGCGCTGAACGAGGGTGGAGCCTTATTGGCACTCATCGATGCAGAGGTGGAGAAAGACACCACTGTAGTCTTTCTCCAAGTCTCCAGGAGGTACATTGAACCCATGATAGAGGAGAAAGGAATATTTGACTTGGTGAGTGATGCAAAAAGGGCTATGATTACACTGCGCCTCACTAGCTCTTCTTCTCGAGGTGATTTGGATGGCATCATCTCTTTGGCGACCAACCATTCCTCCTCGGATCGACCGCTCATACTTGTTGAGTTTCCTGCCCTACTGTATAATCTATTTGAAGGAATTTTAAGGTGCTTACAGTCCTTATATTCCGATCCTCGATGCCTGCCATTGACCTCTTGGATAACACCCCAGGAAAGGTACTGTATGGAGACTACCACTACCTTTGGGTACAAGGCATTCCCGATCCACTCGCCAATCTATCTTGAGAATCTAACACTAGACCTTTCGTCAGTTTCGTCAGCTGGTGAGATACAGGATGAGGACAATATAGCCACGCCACTGAGGTTCTCCGTTGGCCGAGACTTTAAGGCTATGTCTGAGGAGCTATTTAGAAGAACGACGTTAGACATGGGTCAGGCACAGGCAATGGTCTTAGCACTCAAAAACCATTTAGCTCTTATTCAAGGTCCACCGGGGACAGGAAAATCGTACGTAGGTATTCAGATCGCAAAGTGCCTCCTAGCCAACAGAATTCCGCTGTTAGGACCGATTCTATGCGTGTAAGTACCGACTATAGCGATTCAGATTCCCATAATTAGGAGCTTGTACCTAACCACAAATAGTTGTTACACAAACCATGCACTTGATCAGTTTCTCCAAGGGCTTCTTGATTCAGGAATTTCGAAGATCGTACGCATTGGATCTCGTAGTGCCTCACCCGCCCTGGAGTCCCTTTCACTTGAAAACTACAAGAAGCAGAAGAAGATTCCACGCATCCCTGGCCAAGGCAGATCGATCAATGTGTTACAGAAACGACTTGATGACTTGGCCTTTGGAGTTGGTGAGATCTGTGAGAAACTCGAAAACGGGACTTTTGGCATCGTGAGTGCCTATTTGAGGAGGCGATTCCCCAAGCATGACAGACAGATTACCGAGGGGGTAATGATAGGTGATAAGAGGCCGTTGGATACCTGGGCTCAGGGTAACGGCCCAGGCGACTTGAATGGTAATGACGACAAACGGCAGATTGAACAAATGCTTTCTGTAGATCCATGGACGTTAACAAACGAGGAACGCACCCGCCTACTGAAGCACTGGCATGAGTCAGCTGTTAACGATCTTACATTCGAGCTCGATAGCCTAACACGTCAACATGCCGAAGAGAAACGCCGGTACACTGCCTTGTTTAACAAAGAAGACGCCCAGATATTCAATCAAGTGGAAGTTGTTGGAGTCACTACAACTGGCCTGGCAAATAATGCCGATCTCTTACGTAGCCTTCCAGCAAAGGTGTTAATCTGTGAAGAGGCAGGCGAAGTGCTTGAATCACACATTCTGACAAGCTTTTTGCCTTCTATTCAACATGCCATTTTGATCGGAGACCATTTACAACTTCGTCCAAAGATCTCGAATCAAAGGCTATCTATAGAGTACGACCAAAGTGGACCCAAATACAACCTTGACGAGTCATTGTTCGAAAGGATGGTAAACCTGCGGCCTCCAGACTTTCATACATCAGGCGGACAAGCCACCAGTGCGATGGATTCTGTTCGATTTCCTGTGGCACAACTAGATAGTCAGCGGAGAATGCATCCTTCGATTGCTTCTCTTGTTCGTCAGACTCTATATCCTGACCTATGCGACCATCAGAAGACAAGTTTGTATGATGAAGTCGCTGGTTTAAAACGCAGGCTATTCTGGCTTGACCACCGCAACGTAGAAGACCCCGATGATCCTGAGGACCCGATGCGGAGCAAGACAAACACATGGGAGGCGGATGTGGTCATCGCACTAGTGCAGCACCTGTGTAAACAGGAGTGCTATAGCCCTGGAGAGGTCGCTATCCTAACACCATACATCGGCCAGTTGAGATTGTTGAAGAATCGATTGGAGGGAATTGTTGATATTATAATCGCAGAACAAGATTTGGCCGATTTGGATAACTCCGAAGAAGATACGCACGCGAGTGACAGCACTAGTCTGATATCTCACAACCGACAAACTGTTGAGAAAGCGAGATTGTCCGAGCAGGTGAGGCTTGCCACGGTGGATAACTTTCAGGTCAGTTCATTGCCACACTCTGAGGGCCAACTCCATAAATACTCACCATAGCTACTTCCTAGGGCAATGAGGCAACTGTGGTTATAGTCTCACTTGTGAGGAGCAACAAATATCGAAATTGTGGATTCCTAAAAACTTCAAACAGAATCAATGTTTTATTGAGGCAAGTGTTCAAGCTTCGACCATTGATCATAATCCCGTAGTGTATTTCTAACTCTTATAATCTCTCCACTTTATAGCCGAGCAAAGCATGGAATGTACATTATTGGGAATGCTAACACGGCATCCTCTGTTCCTATGTGGTCATCAGTGATTCGAATACTAGAAGAAGGCGGTAACATCGGACCCAAGTTAGAGCTCGAATGCTCCCGACACCCTAATAACAGGATGTACGTTGCTTCTCCGGAAGATTTCCTAACCCAAGCTCCGGAGGGTGGCTGTACAGAAAGATGTGAACGGAGACTGGCCTGCGGCCATACCTGCACTTTCAAGTGTCATTCTAATACACGGCATGGCGCGGTCAAGTGCATGAAGCCATGCACAAGAATGAGGAAGTGCGGGCACTTGTGCACAAAGAGATGTCATGAGAACTGTGGTCAGTGCGTCGAGAAAGTCTCCGGTGTTCTCCTTCTCTGCGGACATACAACAGAACTCGAATGCAGACGGAGAAAGAACGTCGCCTCGGTAAAATGTTCGAAAGTCGTTGTGAGAAAGGTACCGGGATGTGGCCATGAAATTGAAATAAAATGCCACGAGGACATCTCGAAGATAAAGTGTTCGCAGCGTTGTCAAGGCATACTGGACTGCGGTCACACCTGCCAGAGGGATTGCTGGATGTGCTGGGAGTCTGTTAATGGGCGTGGCCAAGCTAGCCATGGCTCGTGTATTGCACCTTGTGGGCGGTCCTTCTCCACCTGCGCACATAGTTGTTCTCAGCCCTGTCACCCGTCCACCGCTTGTGCCCCCTGTGAGAAGCCCTGCGAAGTCCGTTGCAGGCACAACAAATGCCCGAAGAAGTGCAGTGAACCGTGTGTACCTTGCGCTGAGAGGTGTGGCTGGAGTTGCAGTCATCGGCAAAACAATATTTGCAGCCTGCCATGCGCAGTGCCCTGCAGTATTGTCCCTTGTGACAAGCGATGCGACGTTCTTTTGGGTTGTGGCCATCAATGCCCAAGCATCTGTGGTGAGAAATGCCCGAATCAGAAATACTGTCAGGAATGCGGTAGTGACACTGTGTTGGAACGGTGTGTTGATTTGATTACGTTGGAGCGATATGACGACATCAATGTCAATGAAGATCCATTGATCTTCCTGTCTTGCGGCCACTACTATACAGTTTCCAGCCTCGATGGTATCATGGAAATCAAGGAATACTACAATGTTCATCCTCACACAGGCACTATTGTCAGTCCGCGACTGTCGCGACGTGTGATGAGTGACGACGCGAAACTTCCTGGATGCCCAGAGTGCCGTATGCCACTTCGGGATATCCACCGGTATAACCGGATAGTTAAGAAGGCATTACTTGATGAGTCAACTAAGCGGTTCATTGTCACAGCCAATTTGGCGTACAAAAAGCTCGTTATCGCAATCGAAAAACATGAGACACAGCTAGAAGAAGAAGGAGCGGAGCTCATACGCAAGCTTTCAATGGGGGAAGAACAGTCTGGCCACTCCCATAATGCTAACCTGTTCAATGCTTACTGCAGGAAAGGCAGCCTCGAAAATGTAATCCAAAAGTTCGTCAATTCCATGGCGGCTGCAGAGCAACCCTACGGAAGGGTCAATAATCTGCTCGCATCAGCAGCCGTCGGGCAAAACAGTATACGGACCGATTCCTATAGCACGGATGATTCAAAGATCCAAACTGGATTTCAGATCCGCGGCAAATGCCTCCAACTGAGGCTCGCCTGGGCTATGCTGTGGGGTTATCGGAGGATTTACATTGTCCCAGCGGTTGACTCGGAAATCCGTTCCGAGCTGCGCAATGTGGTAGCGAACCAAATCAAGAGCTTATTGGACACTTCTATCTCCGTCTGGGATGACAGCCAGGCCGCAAAACTTTTAGCAGAGCAGGTCCAAGCAATGGTTTACTATGCGCTGTTTTGTATACTATATCTGAGTAATTGCGAGGAAAAAGGTCAACATCTCGATATGGATACAGCCACCAAACTCCGCCAGAACGCTTCAGATACTTTGGAAAAATGCGACAATCTACGGAATGACAATCCAGGAACACTAGGCTTTCTACAAGATGACATCGAAAAGGCGAAGAGGTTACTAAACGGTGGAACGTTCTATAGCTTTGTGACAGCCGAAGAAAAGCGACAAGTGTATGTGGCTATGGCGGCTCAATTTTCTGGAACTGGACATTGGTACTACTGCCGAAACTCCCATCCTGTAAGATCTTTCTGCTTAGCCTAATCGTGTTGAATCTGTACTGATACTGTCGCAGTTTACGGTCGGGGAATGTGGAATGCCGATGGAAGCAGCCCGATGTCTTCAATGCGGAGAAGGAGTCGGGGGACATAACCATGAGTCCCTACCAGGAGTGCGTCGCGCGCACGATATCGAGCAAGCGTTTGGACATCTTTAGCAATGTATGAACTCCACAAAGGTATCCGAATGAGTGAATGACAAGGAGCAAATACCTTAATATGTTTGTCTAGTCTGTTTACTTTAACCTTAACGCTGCAATTAACTATGGCGGTGCCGGCAGTGGATATTTTGGCACAGTTTGTGCTTGCGACCTATACTCATAATGATTACTTAATTCATTTTACTGAATTAGTTACAGCTATTTTAGTTTATCCACCACGCTCATGGGGAATATCCGTGTTATTAGCTAATCTGGACGGTCCCAACATCTATATGCATGTAAGAACAGCAGGTTTCGATGGTTGGGGGTGGGACGGGGCGGGGATCAGTTAGGGTTAGCGGTGGGTCCTTAGAGTTGTTATGAAGTCTAATCTACAATTAATATGAGGATTATTACAGAAGGGAAGTTTTACTATGAATTCGGTATGTAGATATAGTCTTTATAGTACATTGTGTAGCTACTCTTAAGACTACATTAAGGACATGTCCACAGGGTTAGTACTTACATATTGTACATAACTGGAGTCAAACTCGTACTAAAGAGTACTAGTGATAGTAGTAGTATTTAGGCTCAGGGATAATCACTTCATTTAGTGACTATACCGCTACGGTATCTAAAAGATAGACTGTTTTAAAGCGGTAAGTTATCCATACTGCAGGATGGCATTGGTACTGGTGGAAAATATCTTCAGAACCGGACTACTTGATAATCTACCTACTAGTAGTATATACATAGACTTGTCACCGTGGCTGACAGGACACTGGGCTCACGGTGTATAGCTAATATATACTACGTCAGTGTTGGCAAGCCTGGTAATAATTTACATTGTCTAAAACCTCAACTGCGCTAGGTTCTGTGGCTCGCTGATGTTTGGTCCAATTAATCCACGCAGAAGCAGGAATGACGCTCCTTCAGCTCTCCCAGGTGACGTGATTATGGCAGGATCATGTGAGCTGTATATCTTAATGTCTATATGGTAGTAGCTCAGTGAGCAACTAATTCTTCCAATCTTGTGCAGTTACCAAGAAGATTAATTTGATCTGATAACCTTCAGCTCTTCTATTCTATCCTGCCTATTCTCTCGGATTTGTTTGTGGAATGCGCCTGGCGTCCAGGAGGGTGGCTATTGTATTATGAGATTAAAAACGTTGATCATCCATTAATACTAATAACAAGATGCATTAGCTGGCCCGTTGAAGCACGCCAGGGCTAGGCGGAATCCCGTGTCAGCCCGAAGAATACTTTACACGGCTTTGTAAAGGATCCGGATAATTGCGAAATCAATAAACATATATCGACCATGCATTAACTATCTGTTACTATGCCACCGCTTGAAATAAAGGATGTGAGATGATAATAAATACAGTGCATGGTAGAATGATCGAATGTACACATTGTGCGGAAGAATATTCAAGACGAATATTCAAAACTGCAACTTAATCCCAAATCCCGATGCGAGGGCGGGCTTCCTGCACTTTAGCTCCAAATGTACGTTCTCCAGCAACACTGCTACGCATGTCTGAGGCTTTCTTCAGGAAACGAAAGGCACACTTGGTAAAGCACGAATGGTTTCTGAGTTGATCGTACGCCGCAGCAGCCACTTTGATCGAATGGAACCGAATGTAGGTCTCCCCCAGCACAAGGCCGTCTTCAATTCTCTCAATGTAGTCAGAGTGGACAGACTTTTCCATAACACGGCGAACTTCACTCTTCAAGGATTCACGCAAATTGGACACACAGAGACAGCGTGTGTAGCCCTCCTTGAAGATCAATTTCTTCAACTCAGCTGAGATGGGATAGGTCGGAGTGTTGACGGGGACAACCTTTGCCACTGCAGGACCAATGTGCATACCACTTCTTGAAGCCTGAGCAAAACGAACAGCATCAGACTGCCAAACGAATGTGACAATCGCGGTGTTAGATCCCACGATGGGTATGGTATCCGTGAGACGAGCTGAGAAGACCTCACCACTAACGGCAGGCAAGATATCCTTCAGGGTCAGAGTTGATGGGAGACTTTCGATCCGGACCGTGCGATACACGTTGCTGTCGCCCTTAGCTGGAACGTATCGCAGTCCATACTGGAACATCCAAATGTCCGAGAATGGATGACGAGACAGGAGATTGGGACGGAAGTAGAATGCTCCAAGCTCGTCCTCCTCGTCATCGAAGACACTGGGGCCCTCTATAGCCCAGCGTATCTTACCGTCCCATGGAACGATACCTGATTGTCCCTCGGCACCGAAAGTGGAGGTTTTCGCAACGTGAGCTACGGAAGCTGTAAATAGGCTCTTCTGGAACATTAGAAAAATATTCAGTCGCAATTGATACAGACAATGTGTGGGGGGGATTAATTAGGAAACCAACTTACGCGTTTGGGATCTAAAGTAGGGATTTGCAGGTGATCCAATCCACCATCAAGCAACGGAGTAGGCTCTCCCAGGTGAAGCTCCTCGGACAGCTTGACGATGGCACTGGTGGTGATGGGGCCCGGCATCTTCTTGGTGATCTGTGGCAGAAGAGCTGGAACCTGGATGTCCTCCAATCGGCTGTCCATCAGGTTCGAGCTTCGACGCGACTCTGGGGCAGGAGACACAGTAACTTCCGGTGCGTCAGGTGATGCCTTGTCGGGGTGGCTAACCCCATCTATGCCCTGACATGCTTCAGGGGTCACCGAGTCTGTCATAGAAGTCATGAGGACCTCAATCCGGTACAGAAGTCGGCGTTGGATCACGTAGAACATGAGGAGAATGGGCAGGAACGTGAAGAGCAGAATGGCAGCGGTACTGAAAGCACTAAAGATGAGACCAGGACAACCTTCCATTTTGGGCAATTCAGTGCAGGGCTGTTGACACATGCTCCAGGGCGGTGAGGGAGCTGTCTACAGTCAGGATCTTTGTTTATATCACTTCTATAAAGAAGCTCCAGGTATCTGTCGCTTGTGAAACACTAGCTCCAGACTGTACCGGATTTCCTTGGGAATCTGCGTTGCTATGGTGAGGTCTGCATCAAAGTATCACTTTAGATTTCACTTCAACTCACAAGTGGGTTTACGAAAGGCTGTATCAACTCATCACACCGAATGCTTGAGTAACAGTCACTTTATCTAATTGGATGATTTACTTAAACAGCTTCTCTTTACTGAGTCCTCTTTCAGATCTGATTCTAATAGTTCAGCACCATTTAACACTGTGATATGCGTATTTTATTGTTGTCCACTTGCAAGTTGTTTGACGTATTAATAAAAATCACACAATGCCACCATCTACTCTGTTGAGAATAAGAACCACAATGGCTTCACATTTATCCTATCTATCCAAGAAACTCCCCTCGCGCCAAGGCAATCCATGGCAATTTTTCATCCCAGCAACGCTGCATTAGCTTGCGAGCATGCTGGATCTACAGAAGTGTTGGTCAGTACTAGCATACTCTAACAAGGTACCTAGAGCAACTAACCTGTTTCATCCCAGTTTTCTCTAGCACTTCGAATCGCTCCTGAATCTCCATCCTCTGCCCAGGATCATGGGCTTCACAGCCCGCAGTGAACCAGCAAAAGAGGGTTCCGACCTCGGCGGATGGCCCGAATCTGATCTGTGCGAGTGCCTCTCTAAGCCCATCCAGAGCATCCTTGACTGGCGTGGAAAATGGAGATGTGCCTAAGACGCGTCGGTGGAGGTGTAATAAGCCTGCATAATAAAACGCTTTATCACTAGCGATGATATCTGTAGCTCCAGATTCCCGGAAATGCCTTGAGCTAGCGTGAGCGCGGGTACGGAGAATGTCAAGATCATTAATTAATTCTTGAGCTTGGAGAATTATATCGGCCGAAGGCCTCCAACCTGAAATCCATATTCCCATCTCATCGAATCGCTCGTTGTCACACTGATGTACCAATTTCCCCAGCCTAGTCAAGAACAGCCCCGTTCGGGGCGTAAAGCCGGAGAAACAGTCAACACAGTATTCATCCAGTCCCTCAACTGAGCAGCATGTGCTAATAAGAGAGTAGTATTCAGACAAGGGTGGTTCTGTGTGTCGGCACGAGAGGGTTCCCATAATGTCGAGATATCCTAACCAGCGAGCGAGGAATGGGCCAATGCGATTTCCTGGATACGTCATCTGTTCCCGGCGTGCGAGGAAGAGCTCCCGGGCAAGTTTGAGATGCTCTGCCAAGGAATTGGCACTTCGAAGGTGCCGGGTGATATGATCTTCAGGGAAAGCAGCATGATGGCCGTGGCAAGATGGTTGTCAGTGACCTTCTCATGTGGATCTTCCAGTGCTACGCGTAATGCCGGAAAGACATTGCTGACCCAGTGCGCGATACGAGTAGAAGGTTCTGGATGCTCCAGATATCTCGCACGGTGACTAGCAGAGTACGCTAACATAAGATTCAGCAGGTTCGAATCCCCAATAGCCACTATTAGGTCAGCACAATGGCACAGGGTAAAATGACCAACGCGAATAGAAAGCAGACGCCCGTGACTCACTTGAGGGTAGAACGGAAACAAAAGGATTATCGCTACAGTCGTGCGGAACCAGCATTCTCGCTGTATGGTTGATAAAATGATGGAAATACATCAGGTTGATAGGCGTTTGCACTAGAGTTGGTGGCAACGGCGATAAATAACGCGGGATGTTGATCGGTATAGGCGATGCGTAATAAGCAAACTTCCTACCATCCAAGCTAATTTGTTTCGAATCCGCGGACGAGGAATCACTAGATGTCGCAGACGATTCACTTTGTGAGTTGATTAAATCCAGGGCGTAATTAATGTCAATGGCTGAATGGTCGTCATTCTTATTCAAATCCAGATCTGGACGGCCACAGTCTAAACCATAATTATCTGTAACGCTGGTGAGATAAGCATGCCACTTCCTTTCTGCACTCGAGAGTCCCCCGGGCACATCAACCTCATGGCCCATACTCAAAGGCCTAAAATCGCCAGTGGCTAGTGGCTCACCGGCATGGACCTGCAGACGATTCTCAGATAATACAGGGCTATTCATGATTTTGTTGAAGAAATCCTCGGTGCTACTAGCCACGCCCGCTGGCATCGAGTCGGTATCCTGGGCCCCACTAGATGATGCAAAAAGCTGTGGACTTTTGAAAAGAGGGGACATATCCTCGTGAGGATCTGATGGACTCTGTGACTGGTAAAAGGCATAGGTACTAACGGCATCGGCAGGAGATGAATACTGCGAATGAGGATGCCCCTGGTCTGGTGTGCCGCCTTGCCCGGGCGAGGAATGGCTCAAAGGTTGTTCAGGGACGTCTGCAGAGTGTTGAAGGAACGAGTTTGGCTGTGACATGGTGGCTGGCGAAAAGGTGAAAGGGGCAAGAGAACCAATACTGGAGCCCGTGTCTGCTGGTGACGGGTAAGAGAAATCGTCCAGGGAATGTGAAATAGACGACGGGTAACTGGGGATCGCCTCTCTGGACACAACTGTGGTCATCTGAGAAGACAAGCCTGACCACGAGGCTGCAGCATCCTTCCCCGGAGACGATGGACTCATATCTACTGAGCTCTTGCCAGTTGTACGTGTGGAGGGATTAAGAGACTGGTCAGGGATAGCGGAAGATTCATGGATATCATATAACCCTCTAGGATAAGACGTTCCTATTGCCATTTCCCCTGTATGCCCAGCTTCCCAAAACAGACTCTCTGCGACATGGTCCCCTGCAGTGTCTCCTCCCAAGGAACCAGTAGTTTTGAAGGGCGAAGCTAACAGCGTGGAGTCAGGTTGCATTATATCTGACGGCGAGAATGCTAGTATGAATTGTCCGGACCGACCGCTAGACTGGGAGCTTGGAGAGTCTACGGAAGATCTTCTTCTCGTTCTACCTTCCCAGTTCAGTCTTATACTGTAGTCACATGGTTCATTTTGACGTCGACAATTCAAACAGGATGGTTTTTCTTCTCCACTACATCTTAAATATTAGTGGACCACCTAAAAAGGACGTCAAGAAAAAGGACGAAAACAAACCATTTCACTTTGCGTGCTTTACATGGCCTAGGCTGGGGATTTAGTAGCTAATCATACATCGTGAAGTTATCACGTCGTCAGTATTCGTACGCACCAGCATCCTTTCCGGGACCTTCGCTTTGGCTCCGGGGCGCCGGGCCTTCTCGGGCGAGGCATTGGATTTCAATAATTATTGGCCAGATAAAAAGACGAGGAATAGAAGATATAACGGCCAGACGAAGTAATAGTCCGGGACTTGAGATAGTGCCGACACACTCTGCACAGTAAGATCGCCATGCAGACCAGATGTAAGCTCACGGGGTCGGTAGGGCCTCCAAAGAATTATTCCTTTTTCGCCTTGTAGGGCGTTTCGGTTTAATCCAAGACGACAGAAAGCGATAATCAACGAGGCACCCACACCTAGTATTCGTGGTCATCGAGGTGTGGGAGAGCACCCGCAGACTCTTTTTACTGGTAACAAATGCGGCGAATTGGGAGTTATCTTTCTAGGATCTTGTGGTGTGAAGAATCAACCGGGAAGTGTGAAGGGAAAGTCCCCCGTACGACTGACTCTGTCTTTTAGGGCGCTGGTGATTAGTAGGGAGTAGTAGCAATCGATTGTTGCAACAGGCCAACGCCTCGTTTAAGTTCGGCTGGTGAAACCAAGCGGAATATGGGCGAGACTAAGAAAACACGAGAAAAGCGGAGGAGATACTGGCCAGTGGAGCATCGGATATCCAAAGACTATCCAGATAACCATTTAGATTGGTGGCGACCTATCGGCCGTCTCAATCAATCGCAGTTGCGTATTAACCGGGGCGGAATCGCGGGCGGTGGAGCAGGTGATACAGGCAGAGTTACCCATACGTAATGGTGATAAGCTGGTGTCTCCGGCCGGGAGTCGGAGGATCTATTCCTCCATAACCCTCCTTTTCAGCTTAGCGGCGGGATCCTCGGCCACCGCCGCTTCACCCAGAGGTCCATATCGATATCGTCAGAGAACATCTAATTAAGATTGACCCTGAGAGTTAATTTATTGGAAGTTCTTGTGGTTTATTGATTATTGGTGGCTACTATCTTATCAGAAAACTCAACCATGGCTTCTACTTCTTCGGCAGTCCAGTCCTTTCTCCGAAAACATCCACTACAGCGGATACACAGTCCATCCCGCGGCTTCTCTGCCTTGGTTCATGTATGTACTTAGCTTGGTAATCTTGGACTTCTTCTCCTTGGCTAACTTGCCCTCCTTTCAGTTACTGGGACTTTCCAGCTTCGTATGGTCTTTTAAGTAGTATGTTCACAGTCTGTCTAAGTTTATTTATAGGATTATATTCGATTCTCGGCCTCGATTGGTCGCGGTTGAGATGCCGCTACGTCATCATGGTCACTCAGGCTAATCCTTGCGTTCAGTATGCATGAAAATCCCAACCACGCGTAGGTGTTACCAGTCCCATGGCCTTAGACCCCCCTGTCAATTAACGTTTGGTTAGCAATGAGGCATACGGCTGGCATTTTCAGTACCTGACGGTCATTGGATTATCCCTGTCCACGCTTACCTTCACGATTGGTCTACTGGCGGACGTGACCTTATCCTCCCAGCTGTTTTTGATCAAGAACATCCTGTCGATATGCAGTGCACCGTTAGAAGTTCTGATCAGCATTCTGTATTGGGGTCTCCGCGTGGTCAGTGCCCGATATGGCCTTTTAACCTCTCAGTTGTAATTCGCCAGTTAACTTGTACTAGATCGATGAACGTTTGGTGGTACCTGATTGGGCTGTCATTCCTTTGAACGCGGGTAGGCCCAGATACCAATTTCTCAGGTATCATGATCACTACTGATACAGTCTCCCATGAAGACATTAGTTTCCATGCCATACCATCCATTGTCCTTCTGATCGACCTGTTTCTGCTTTCCCCGCCATGGACGATTAGTATCCTCCCCGCCCTCGGCTTGTCCAGCGCCATTGCCTTTGGGTATTGGTTCTGGATCGAACGTTGCTTCTCGTATAATGGATGGTTTGTCACTGTTTTGCTTATATCATTAGGAAAGTGCTAACCTCTCCAGGTACCCTTATCCAATCTTCGAGCAACTTCCTTTTGAAGGTCGTGTCGGACTGTTTGCCCTCAGTGCCGTCGTGATGGCTCTGAGTACCGGCACCCTGAAGTGGCTTTACGGCCGCGTGAATGGCTATGGGACCCATTCTAAACCACATTCTCGCCCTGGCGCTATCTCTCAGAATGGCAGTCTTTAAACCGCGCGATCCTTCCAGTCAGCTTTAGACCTCACCATCTTCAGCGAATGGCATCAGCAACAGACGTCTATACTTTTCCTCGATGAATGTAAAGCATTTGCACTTATAAATCGATAGATTATTATACATGTTTGTTTTACAAGTGGGCCGAAGAGGAAACCGGAAGAATGAAACAGTTCAAGAGTTATTTTATTCCCCTCGGCGCATCAACCTCGGGTTTCCCCGCATTTTCTATAACCGAGACTCTAAATAACTAGTTATATAAACAAACTTTATAAACATTTAGTTAGCTGGACATGATTCAAGCAATTACTAAATTCATCCCAAAAGAGTCTAATTCGTGTAGCAGCTCGCCTCCAGCATGCAATACCTTCCAGCAAAGGACTACAATGTCCCGAACATCGACCTCCTCTCCTTACTGTTTGGTACATAAACCCCTCATACCATCATCTATATGTCTATACAACTAATACGACCCACAGATTCCCCTCTCTCACTAACCACGGAAACTACCGTTCTCCACGCCGAAGCTGCAGATCCAACAAACCACATCACCAAAGCCCAAGCCCAAACCATCACCAAGCGCCTCGCACATGTATTCCGCACCGACTTTGGAATCGGAAATAATGGCACCGGAAAAGACACAGTTCTCTGTATCTCATCTAACCAAGTACTTCTTCCAGCGGTGTTCTTTGCCATCATCGCCGCAGGGGGAGTGTATACTGCAGCATCGACGGCCTTTACAGAATCGGAGCTATCTCGACAGATCCAACAGTCAAAAAGCCAATTGATCATCGCTAGTGCGGATAACGAAGCGAAAGCTCTGAAAGCGGCGCTTGCCTGCGGGATTCCCGTGGAACGAGTTCTGATCCTCGAGAGCTCAGGTCACAGACGCTTGCTTCGGGATACAGCTGACCCCCAGAGAAACTATCTCCAGAGTACTAAAGAGCTGGACTGGGAGCGAGTCACAGATCGAATCGAGCTAGAAACAAGACTCATCTGCCTACTATTTTCGAGCGGCACTACCGGAGCTCCAAAAGGTGTTATGCTGTCTCACATGAACCTTGTTTCTGAGGCAATTATCCCACAATTGGTTCTTCGCGAATCTAGAAAGGGAAAACCGCATCTTGAAGTCCCTTATCGGACGATTGGTCATCTGCCTACTGCGCATATTGCGGGTTGCCAGGGATATTTTATTACTCCTGCCGTTGCGGGAGGTACCGTGTACTGGATGCCGAAGTTCAATATTGACGAGTTCATGGACTATTGTAAAAAGTATCAGGTTACGTTTCTGGCTACTGCACCGCCGGTCTATCTTGCTGTTGCGGAGAGTTCGCGGGTCACGGATCATTTCAATAGTTTGATCCGAGCGGAGTCGGGGGCTGCGCCGTTATCTACGGAGGTCCAGCGACGTGCGGAGAAGAAATTGGGCTGTTCGATCAGTCAACGCTGGGGAATGACCGAGTCTACTGGAAGCGTGACCACGATGCCCTGGGGTCAAGCGGATAGCACGGGGAGTATCAGCCCTTTGCTGCCGAATACGAGACTCCGCATTGTGGATGAGCAAGATAGGAATGTTGAACAAGGAACGGAGGGAGAAATCTTGGTTAAAGGGCCCATGGTCACTAAAGGTTACTTTGAGAACCCAGAAGCTACTGCAGCGGCTTTCACACCCAGCGGATGGTTCCGAACAGGAGATATTGGCGTCTGGAAGGACGACAGAATTTACATGGTGGATAGAAAAAAGGTGAGTCCTCGTATTACTGCATATATACGTTGTTGTGACAAGCTAATAAGTTACCAGGAACTTATCAAATACAAAGGACTTCAGGTCTCCCCGGTAGAGGTAGAGGCTTGTCTCCTTAGCCATGAATTCGTAGCAGATGCTGCTGTCGTTGGAGTGCCAGACCCGTCAGCACCGGGGAACGAGCTTCCCCGAGCATATGTCGTGGTAGAGAACAATAGAAGCATTTCCGAGCAAGAATTAAAAACACACGTCAAGTCAAATATGGCGCGCCATAAGCAGCTTCGGGGAGGCGTGGTATTTACGAAAGAAATTCCGAAAAGCTCGTCCGGAAAGATACTTCGACGGCTACTAAGGGAACAGGCAAGGAAGTCGATGAAGCCACGGGCGAAGTTATAGTATCGCCAATATACCACCTATTCAGTCCTGTGAACAAGAATGTAGGGCTCTAGGAGAGCTTACTGTGCTCTTAGTGCTAAGATAACCAACAGGGAATCCCTTGATGTTATAGATAGTGTATGTATATATGCGGCATATATACATACGACAATGAATTGTGCCATATGGCCGTGCCGTGCTCTAGTCCTAATACACTCTAGGGTCTGCTAGCAATCCAAATAGATAAATTTTGAGAGTCGATCATACGATTCTAAAAATAATGAACTAAAGATATATCAATTCGTACACAGTTGAGGCTTTCAGGCACACAGGAGAACTACCACCAACTGGAAGTAGACCGCTAGGGGGAGAAAAAAGGGAAAAGAGCGCACCCACTGCCAGTTCAACCAGGGCTTCCTCGTACCTAGATGAATTCAGTCCAAGCATTTAAATCTGCATTGTTTACTACACCATCTTCACATAACGTAAAAAAAATGACCTCATACCCCATGAGGAAATCACGCCGCTTACATAATCCAATCAACGCTCCATCCGTACATTAGCCAAACCCGAACTCAACTCCGCATCCACATCGACGACAATCACCTCTGCATTTTGCTCACAACACCCTCCAAGATGCATGCGACCTCGATCAGCGCCCCAGTGCGCACCGCGATGGTATTCGGACGCATTTCCTCAAAAGCCCTCCCCTCGGTTGCATTCCCAGCCAATTCAACGGCACTGTACCAGACCCTCTGCCAGGCACGACCAGCCAGTACCTCCGCACAGATCAAGACCAGCTTCAAAGCGCCATGTGCTCGTCCCCAAGTCCAGATGCCCACTTACCGTGTTGCGTCAATGCGGACGAACTCCACAGTCTCGGAGGCAACTCGCAAGGAAGCCGCCAAGCTGACCTGGAACTCGTTCTTCCAGCTCCGTGCCTCTCGTCGTCGCTATTCGCTCGCTTCTTCGGTTGTGTCCTCGATGGCTAGTACTGTCATTGGTGTGCAGGTTCTTTCTAGCCAGGATCTTGAAGCTTTGGGTGCGCAGGTGATGGGTCTGGACCCCTTCGTTGTTCTGGGAATGGCAACCGCGGCTTGTGGTGCTGCAGGTTGGTTGATTGGGCCCTTTGTGGGTAACGCGGCGTGGGGGTTGGTTAATCGGCGGTATAGGCAGGCCTTTATGATCGTGAGTTTTATCCTTGTTTCTCGATCTACGATCTATAGCTGCTCGGTGCGCCGCATTGTGAACTAACCCGAATTCCATCACAGAAAGAGAAGGAGTTCTACGACCGAATCAAGCGCTTCCGCGTTGATCCCTCTTCGAACTCCATCGCTAACCCCGTCCCTGATTACTACGGCGAGAAGATCGGTAGCGTGCAGGGATACCGCCAGTGGCTGAAGGATCAGCGTGTGTATAACCGCAAGAGGCGCAACTTTATCCTCTAGATATGGTCATTCTTGCATTTGTGATGGCGAGTAATTAACATGTGAGCCCGTAGCCTGGGTTTCATTTATGGCATTTTAACATTCCGGTCCTTATTTTCTTTGTTTGTGGGTTCTGCACACCCTTCCTGTATGAGTATCTTGACAACGTCGATCTGTATCTGAGCGCTTACTTTCTTTACTAAATTTAACCTGTATGGGTTTATCATGCTTGATGATTGACATTGCATGGCCAGTCGGAACCTACTTCCACAAAATCACACGTGAATTGACCGTTTCGGTTCAGTCTGGGACTTTGATGCCAAAGACGCAGCTCGAATAGCCAGAATAATCCGTCTACAACTTAGAATCCCCCTTTACAACCTTCGGCTTCCTGCTAATATCCGCCTCAGACCACCAAGGATAGATCGTCGGTCCATTATCCACCAGCGTATCCCTAAAATTCGGCTTCCGCTTCTCGAAGAAAGACACAACACCCTCCTTATTATCCCTACAAAGCCGCCCAGTAAGCCTGACCGCCAAGCAAAAGACGGAAACAAAAGGAGTTAGGACCAACATACCTAGACCCAAACATATGATAAAGAACCGGCGAATCTAACAAATGCGCCTCCTCGGCAGACTCAGGCCCGCGCCAGATAAGCGCCCGGTTGAGTCCATTCGCCATCGTACTCGTGTTCTCCGCGATGTCAGTTGCCAGCGCCAACGCCCGCGGCAGGACCTCCGATTGCTCGGCGAGTGTCTCGGCAAACAGGCCCCCGAAATGCGGAGACGTGGAGGGGAGAACACTCCCCGTGGACACGAGGTAGAGGGCCTTGCTGTAGCCGATTAGTCGGGGGAGGAAGTATGAGGAGCAGGATTCCATGGTAATGCCTCTGCGGGCGAAGACGAAGCCGTATTTGCTGTTTGCGTGGGCGACTCTGTTTTGGGGGGTTTTCGTTAGTGATGTCCGGCTCTGTGTAATTGTCTGGTGTATTCAGGTGGGATATTACCTGATTACGGCAGGTAGGGTCATGGTCATGCCGACGCCGACAGCAGAGCCTTGCATTGCGGCGATAGTTGGTTTGCTGCAGCGGTGGATTGCGAGGGCTACTCGGCCGCCACTGTATCAATCTCAGTACTGTGTCATTCCAATCGAATACACAAGTCTAATATGCAAACTTACCTATCTCGATGATCCACCGGCCTCTCGTCACGCCCCTTTGGGAACCCAATTTCCAGATCCGCGCCAGCACAGAACGTATTGCCAGCCCCGGTCAACACGACTACCTTGACCCGCTCATCCACATCAAACAGAGCAAAGACCCTCTCCAAATCATCCGCCATGGGCCCGGTAAAGGCATTGCGCTTCTCCGGACGGTTCAATACGACCACCACAACTGGTGTGGCAGTCTCAGCGCCAGCCGGGTAATGGGAGACCTTGATGTGTGTTGTTGGGAGCTTCTCGTAGGATGGAGGGATCACAATAGAGGGTGCGTTGGAGGACATCTTGGCGTGCTTTTTATGTCAATGTTTGATGGATTTGTAGATGTATATACTGTCATACTTTTTCCTTGATCCGGGTGTGGTGTTGCTTATATTGCGCTGGCTGGAGCCCCTCATCTGTTATGTTCATTGTAGGATATAATAATCGGTGATAGGCGTGATTACTGATAGAAGGGCTTCTCCCGAGGCATACTCGGTAACTGCGTTGTGGATGGGGGTGGAGCAAAGGTCCGATCCCCCCGCAAAAATGCGGAGAAGCCGGTCCTCGGGATGTTCTTATTAGTTAGTATTCTCGGAGATTATTCCATACTTTTGGTATAATCATATATATATACTAAGTAACCGGATGTTACTCTTTGTGTTAGATTAATACAGTTTAAAGTGAATGTTTACTTTAGAAGAAGGAGATAGAAAAGAAAATGGGAGAACAATTATTGGAGAGTACGGAAAACTTGAACTAAATTCGAAAAACTACTCGGTAGATGTAGATTATACAAGTGTATTGCGTGAAGATAAATAAGACATAATCCTGGTGGGCTCTGCTTTCTCTGCCGTAGTATTTTAAGTACGTTCCGTTTGCAGAGCAGCATAATAAATAAGATATTCTTAATTCCAAGGTCAAAAACTTCAAGGTACCCCACGGTGGCAGATGGATTCTTATCAATCATCTCATTAATATCAGCATCCGCCAGATATCCAACTTGATCTGCACATCGGCCAGGTGTTGTGCCAGACACGGGGCCAGTATAAGTACACATGGGACCTGTGCACCCCGGAGACGTCGTCTCAAGGGAATGGTCATAGCTGCTGATGCCAACCAGCAACTTATTTGTTTCTACCCCAGCTTTGGTGGCCATAACTAGGGCAAAATACCCAAGGGCAGCCAGAATCAGCATACGCCTTGCCATAGTCCCATTGTCCGTGTAAATCACATGTCATATAACAATGTAATCAACGGCTTCCGCAATCTCCTTGATGGGAAATTCTTGGAGGTACCAGTACAAGCCTGGGGCAGCGATGGATAGGCTCTTGTCCGTTGGTAAAGCAGAGCGCACTTCCTTTAGACATGCAAGATAATTCTCCCTTCATCCTCGCTTCCTGCAGGGATCCCAGGGATTTCGGGGGCTCCAAGATACTCCCGATCAAAGTCAACTCCATCGAGATCATTGGTTGTAGCAAAATAAGCCACATTCTTGCAAGTATGGCAAGATTTTCCTTCTCGACCCCTTGGCGAAAGATCTGATAGGTTTCTGGTGAGGTCGAAAATTCCCACCCACCAAAAGATACAATTTTCTTAATATCATCTATGAACTTCAAAAATTCGAACTGATACTTTCTTTTCTTTACACTAACCGAATAGTTCGAAGTGATGTCGCCAAAGCCGAGCTAGATATGGGTATACTTTTGTGTCTGTATAAGCCAGGTATCCAAAGTCAAACATTCTGTCTCCGTATTGCTCTCAAGTATCCAACCGTGGAAAATTCATCTGGGGACTCGTTATTGGTGATTTAGCTTCCTCAATTAGGGACTAGATTCAAGGTGCCATTCCGTATACGTCCAGTCTTGCGTCCTTCTAAGCTGCTCTTGTGGCATTGCAATATCATGCGCGCCAGGCATTCGAATGTTGACCAAGCAAAGCAATGGACATGTGAATATGCTCTCGACCTTAGCAAGCCCTTCCTCCCCTTGGCCTCCCCAGGAGGCTCTACTGTGTACAGAACATGAGAAGACTTGTCTGGTCAAATATAAGAGGCATCCGCAGTTCTCAAGCATGGATTATACCCCATACTCACCAACGATTATTGGAACAACCAAAAGCCCTCTCATTCGGTTTCCTTAGGGCCCGCTTCCATTGCCCTTCTGCTCTCGCCTGTGGCGAGCTTTCTTACGCTGTTTCAGTCTGGCATTGGGGCAAAATGAAATGAATCTTAAGGCTCCGCCTCCCTTTGCACGAATCTATGCGAACTGTCCCATGTCATTTTGCATCGCTTGGATTGCCGAATTACTTGGTTATTTGCACCCCTGTCAGCCTAATTATCGAAACATTAAATTGGGAGATATCTTAAGCCAGTAGAGCACACATCTTAATTGTTAATGCAGGAGGCCAATAGAGACTCGTCTATGAGCAATGTTAGAAACGCCTATCAGTCGGGGGGGGGAGAGAAGAGTAGGAGGGAGAGCGAAAAGAAAAAAGAAGAATTAATCAATTAATTAATTTAATCATTCCAAGCCGCCGCCTTATCCGCAAGGCATGCCCTATAGGGAGATAGACTAGCCCTATATCAGAATTAACCCAGATTGCCAAGAACATTTAAATTAATGTAATGGCGAACATGTTACTAGGGTTACACTTGGGAATAATTACTTTCACATTCGGTGTGCTTAGTTTGTTGCTCCGGCACTGGGAGTTATTAGCTCGTAGGCAATACGTCTCGCATCTAGTTCTCGTGGATAGCATTCAAGTTTAACATAGCATGCCCTACACCACAAAGTATTCTTGGATGGCCTGTCTACCAACGTTTCCCCCTCCCCCTCCTCGCCTTCACTTTTCTCTTATCTTCTGTATTCTTTCCTTGATTTACTGTAGTAAGGTTTTCTACCCTCAATCAATGAACAGTGCATATGGTCCCTCGGCTGTTTATCTTTCTGCTCGACAGATTTACGATTGCGGAAGATACAAGCCTGTTCCCTAATTTACGCCTTGCTCCTTCCAGGAGTGGCTTGACGCATCTTCCAGCTGCATACAGTCATGCGAAAACAATTATCAGTGGAATGTTGTCATCGGGAATCAAAGCTGCGGTGGTGAGACAGCCAAGAACAGTACAAAGGGAGAAGATATCAAGTGTTTATGTGATACGTGGGCCAGAATCGGGTATACAGACCATGATGAACCCGAAAAGAGATGGAATTGTCTGCTTGATACCTGTGGGGAGAATTTCAGCTATGATGCCTATCTTACAAACGATTTCACAAATTGGATCCAAATCTGTGATTATGGTAGGGGGCATAAAGTTCCATGCTCCCATCGTGTATATATACCTAATCGACGACAGTCAACCTCTCTTTAGGGTTTGAAAGGTGTACAAATGCCGGGTATGCCGTTTCGGAACAAGGGGCGGTTGGCTTTGCTGGTTTAGGATTCTGCTTTGTTTCAATATTCTTGCTTCTCTAATCTTCATGATGTCAGATCATGGTCACTACAGCTCTTCCAGCGTCCCATACCCTGTATATACCATGCCATGCGCATTGTTTCCCGTCCGCCTGGCGCATATACGTTACGTCCATATTCAATTCAACCTTATCACAGCGAATCACGTAACCCTCGCTAGATATGCCGACGAGTATCTGTGCACGGTTCTGAGAGGAGCGAGCGACAATCTTCACTCCTACGGAAAGTGTCTGTCTTTGATATATTTTGTGCACAAGCGACCTTCGAATATTATAGTGGATAACGAAGCTCCATTTCTCATCTAGGTGATAACCAATACCACCGAAGATTTACCCAGCTCCCTGGAGAATTAAATTGCAAGCTATATAATAAAATACATCCTCAGTCGCCTGGACATAGCCATGGCTGCATTCGGAGCTGAGTGGTGGAGGATCGCAAGTATTGTTTTTAATTTGCTGTTTTCTGTATACTGTACGAATTCTATATAGCACTATATATCTAATAAACTTCAACTAAGGCGAGATGGCCGAGCGGTCTAAGGCGGTTAGTACCACTATAATATTCTTATCTTGTCAAACAAATAACTAATAATCTCTCAGCTGGAGTAAGGTTCCAGTCTCGAAAGGGGCGTGGGTTCAAATCCCACTCTCGTCAACATCTTTTTCTTCTTTTTTCTTTTTCCTTTTCATCTCTTCTTATCTTTCCGAGACCCTGTTCTTCAACTCCAGAAGACTTATCACTTCTACCGGATTCAGGCTCTGCAGTCTACCCTTTTTGGTGGACAGATAGTCAACTTGACTTGGGAGCTAATCTCCACAGCACTATGCATACTTCACGTCAAAAGTATGAATGGGAAGCACTCCGTGTCTACTGCGTCTTGTCCAGTTTCCTCCGAGAAGCACAGCCTCCTGCCATGCCTCAACTGGCATGCCGATGACAGAGCGTCGCGGAATCTCCCGACGCGACCGACACACGAAACGGGGAAATGGTGTTATCGAGGTGACGATCCTGCATAAGCTCGCTCCAAATGTCTCAGGTGGGCCATCAACTGAAATGGAAAATGGTCCCTGCCAGTTGACACTCGGGCCAATGGTGAAACCATGAGCAGGGCTGATGCTGTGTCATGGCTTAGTGAAGGTTGCTCCACCTGCAGCATGAGCTTGATAGGGACGAAGGCTGGGCTGGGACTCCACTGCCCCGTTGCTTGTTTCTGGTCCCAAGCCTTTTAGCGTCCCTTTCCTCGTATCAACGCCCCCATGTGGAATATCTTTCAAGGGAAAATTTCCACGATTAGGGTCAGTACGTTCCCTATGCGCCTTCCCCGTGTCTGAGTGTACCTTGTTTTCTCTCTGCTCATCCACGGACTCCCGATCTAAACCTTTTTATCTCCCCCAGGTCCCAGGGTCGCTATTATTCTCTTACCGATCTCACCTCCCGTGGGAGATATAGTACCTCCTGAGAAATCATGTCCCAATGCGTCTCCTCAACAGAAAGCAGAGGCTTTCTCTAATCACCTTCGCCATCCTCTACTTCACCCTCTTCTTCATCTGTCGCGCCAATTCCGCCCGCGACCCAGGCTCATCCTTCTTCCAGCCACACGAAGGCTACCGTCCCACATACAGCCTTACCCGAATCCAAGAATCCCTACACTACCTCTCGCGCTTCAACCAAACAACCACCACGCCCCATAACCAACCACCACCGACCACAAAGGAACATGTAGACCTCTGTGTGGGCATTGTGACCGTCAAACGGCCCCTCGCCCAAAACATAGACACAACCATCGCCTCCCTCATCGACAGTCTAAGCCAGCACCAGCGCTCCCAGATCTCAATCCACCTCCTCTTCGCCCTCACCACGCCCACAGACCACCCCGACTACAACCACCCCTGGGTGCACAACACAGTCAACCGCATCCTAACCTACGAGACCCAGAACATCTCCGCCACCACATCCTACCTCCGCACCCTCGAAGGAAATAAAAAGTTCACCGCAGAGAAATCCCTCATCGATTACGCTATCTCCCTCCACTCCTGCTACGACACCACCGACGCACCCTACTTCCTCATGCTGGAAGACGACGTCGTCGCCCAGCGCAACTGGTTCCCAACCACCACACAAACCCTCCACAGCATCGGGGAATGGGTCCATCGCGGCATCGTACCCCGCGACTGGCTGTACCTCCGTCTCTTCTACACCGAGAAATTCCTCGGCTGGAACGCCGAGAACTGGAAGGAGTATCTCCTCTGGAGTCTTGCGGCCACCGTCGCAGTTGCGACACTGTGTCTTTGTCTGAGGAGGACCGTGCGCCCCGCACACGAAATCCTCTCGAACGCCTTCCTGGGCCTTGTCTGCTTCGGCGCCGTGCCAGCCGTCATTCTATTGTATTTCGCATCGGGGCGGGTCACGGTGCAGAGACCCATGCGGCCCGGGGTGCACCTGATGAATCGACACGGGTGTTGCTCGCAGGCGCTGGTTTTTCCGCGCGAGAAGGTTCCTGATATCCTTGAGTATATGAAGAAGATGGAGGATGCGACGAAGCCGAAGCCGGTGGACTCTACGCTGGAACGACTGGCGAATGAACATGGGTTTGATCGGTTGGCGATTGCGCCGCCGCAGATGCAGCATGTCGGGGCGGCGTCGTATAAGGAGGACGAGAAGAAATGGCGGAAGGGGGAGTACTCTGTTCGCGGCGCGCATGGGGTTTGGAGTATGGAGTTTGAGAAGGCCTATTCGGAGTATGAGTTGGTGCCCTATGGTGGGCATATGGTTGATACTTATTGGCCACGGTAATGACGCTCGGCACACTGGAGATGAGGTTGGGGGGCAGGATTATGAATTGTTTTAGATGGGAAGCTCTTCGAGCTCTTATGTGGATACGCTTATGAGAGGCTGCTCAATGAGGCTTTATGATTGTACATACTTATGAATTACATACTCGCTTACTCTAGATTTTTATCATTCTCCTTCCACAAGATGGCTTGTATACGGGGTGATGGTTCTGATTTGCCTTTAAGATGAGTTATTGCAGGCACACGATACACAGCCACTAATTTTGTTCTCCATACTAAAATGTATCTACAAGGGGGGTTCTTTCTTTTCTCATTCCCTTTTGACTCCCCACTCACCAAGAAGTGGGTTGGGTGGGTGAATGTATCCTCCAGCCGAGAAATGTCTCATGAAATGACGCCTTACTCAAAATTGTTGCCTGTTGGAGCTAAAATATATGTTTCTGGTCTGTGCCTGGTGATTACAATTACTAGGAGCCAAAACTTAACACTGAAATATATATTTAACACAGCAAGGCGCATGGCATTCTTCAGCATTTGACTTCAACGTAACGAGAGAGCATATTGCAGCGATAGTAATACAGGCCCCAGTAGCTTTACTATCTCTGTAGATAGTGCAGACAAACAAGAACCAAGAGAAAGAAAGACATTGGAACGGCTTAAGGCATGCTTGGCTAATACAAAAAAAATGCAATGAGTTAACATACGATAAATATCGGCTTGGTCGAAGCGACTTACCTGACAATTCAGAAAGTTATACAAACAACGACAGTGATTCGAGTCCAATTTGGATAAGCTCCATACTCGGTGACCACGACATCAATGCTCTTCAATGTTCCCTTCCCTCATCTTCCGGTTCAGCTGGGAATGTACCAGGCATAATAGTAACTCTTCCTTGCGTTAGCTGGTCCGGAAGCGGCTCAGGGTAGGAGCCGGGTAACCTGGGAGATACATATTGACGCGCTGTATTCATCAGCTTTACTACCTTCACTCCCATCGCACATATTCGCACTTACGCTGTATTCCATTTGGCCCAAAATGTATAGGATGAGGATTCCCTTCAGGTTGCCCACTACCTGGCATAGTTCCTGAAGCGGAGGCCATGAGATGAACTACGTCATCAAAGCTAACGAGTTGCAGACGCTCACTAGGCTCTCCTGAGTCTTGTTCTGGTAGAACTCTCTCACGCGGCATTGGTTCACGTGGTGGGAGCTCTGATGACTGCTGTTGTGGTCCTAGCTGTTGTAGTTCATGCCCGAGGGGCTCTGGTTGTTGCTGTCCTGACGGTTGCTGTCCAAGCTGTTGGCGTTGCGGCCTAGGTTGGCGAGGTCCTTGCTCCTGTGGCCCTTGCTCTGATTGCTGTCGCTCGGCTGTGACCGGCTGATCAATACTAGCTGCTAAAGACTCCTCCACACTTCGCTCAGTCCCATGCAAACCACCACCGTCATCATCATAGTGAGTAACGACAAATGAAGGGATGGTCCCAGCGGTCGGATTCGGAGTCCCATTAACATGGTTAGGGATAGGAGGATTGTAGATATCTCCGTCAGCGTCTATTCTGGGCATTAATAGATGTCGAATCTTTCTTCGGACACTCTGATTCCACTCGACTAGCGTCCGCCAAAATGCAAACGGTAATCTGAGGAGCTTCTGCAAGATTCTAAATATCAGAGCAATTAGCTCGAAGATGTCGAGTATGATCTCCGCGAGGAGGTCAAAGCACATGGATGAAGGGTAATAGAAGGCAAGTGTGGAAAGAGAGTGTGATGATAAGAGAATAAAATCAACTATTTAATTGAACTTGATGTAGTGGTATGAATGGGATGTATAGCGAGTGATGGGATATATTGAAGAGTTTTAGGGGTTAGCAGATGAAGGACCATCCTGTAGAGCATTGTGGTCTAACAAGGAAGGAGCTCTGTAGAGCGTGCTTCAGAGTGCATTGTGTTGAACTTGCTCGGATGAGCAGGAGCGACGATATATGGAATATTATCGAGCCTGAGGCAGGTACTACTATGGTATCTTGCTAGGGCGAGGCCATTGCGGGCCAACGGAAAGAGCTCGCCATGCTGTACAGAAGGTATAAACCAGGTCGCTAGTAGTTCATTAGCAGTGTATCGCATATTTTCATCGGGTAATGCAAATGTAGCCATGACCGCAGTGCATTCTTTGTACAAAAGGACAAAGTCCGTAATAGCAAAGTGGAAGAGGCGTTGGGATATTCCCAATGGATAATGGCTACGGAGTCCAATCCACTTCAATCGCCCTGCACAGTGGATCCACCAAGGGGCCAGGGACGTGGGGAAGGAGACCCCGAGCACGTTTACTACGCAGTATACTACGTACGTAGATGTACGGAGGACACAGTATGGAGTAAAACGATCTCAGATCCGACGAACCCCAGAAGCCCTGTCAAAGACTAAAGAGGAAGGGCACATGATTAGATAAGAGACCCAAAATCACATCATTCCGCAAACGTGCGAAAAAACCGCCATCACGCGCCAAGAGCAACGGGCTTTCAGCATAAGTTCTTTTGGCGTTCTAGAGGGGCTGCTTCTTCTTGGCCCCGATCAACTTACAGAATTTTCCCCCTTCGCCACCGCGTGTCAGCTCTGTTTACCTCGCTGGTTCCTATCTTCTCGGTTTATTTAATTATCTGGAGTCCCATCTGAGACCCTCCCATTGCCTGCAAACCCACTGCGCAAACCCACTACCCGATCGCATCCTTTCCCCGCCAACGCCGCCCTTTATACATTCGGCTATTCACGTTCCTTGATCGGGTACTCGCAACCATGAGTCGCTACGTATCTCACGGCCGCGGAGGCGCAGGTACGTAGACAGGTGAAGTCATATCAATTGTTGAACTTGTTTTGACGACACGCAGGCAATATCTTCTCCGGCGAAAGCATACCACCCCGAGAGACCTCGTCACACCCACGATCAAGCAAGACATTTATACCACCGGTCGCGGCGGCTCAGGAAATATGGTCGTAAACGATCCCCAGCACCCGGAAATTGCGCGCGAGAGTCAGGATGTAGAGGCGCCGCCGTTGCGTGTCGAGGAGGCTCCTCATCACACCGGACGGGGTATGTTGTCGAAGGGACCTATGTTATATTGACTAGCATGCTGATCGTGACTCCGATGTATACAGGTGGTGCTGCAAATGCGTATATTCCTTCCCCCGAAGAAGAGAAGAAGGCTCGCGAGCAAGAGGAACAATTGCGTCGAATTCGCACTGCGTCTAGAGACCGATTGAAGGATGCTGAGCGTGCCGCCGAAAAGCGAAGCGAGTCATCGTCGAGCTGAGAAACCAACCTTTTAATTAAATGGCACGTCCCGAGTCGCTTCCTTTTGGAGTAGTATCCTGCTTTCTTAGTTCAGCCTTCGTGATTCTGATCGGTGGGACATTGAACTAACTTTCGCGAACACATCGATCGTGACATGTTGGGAGCGGAGCGCTGCTGGCAGTGCATGATTTTGACTTGTGACTCGGAGGAAGTGTCGCCGATGACTTTACTCCCTTTTCTGCTGTCTCGTTTCAATGTCTTGTTTGTCTCGTCTCTCGCCTCTTATTTCCCTTCATTTTCTTATCTCTTATTAACTTAATGAATACCCATGTTTGTTGTGAACCGGAGGAGTATTAGGAACTCAGAAAAATCGGCCAGTTTTGGTGGTTTAGTACGGTGCTTATTTATACTAGTAGCTTTCATTATGATGCACCAATGACTGCAATGAGTCTTATCGTTAATTATCCGCGCTAACTTGGCTCTGCAGCATGCCTGCCTCCAGTCGACCGAATAGAAGTTCTGGGTAAGATCTACAGCGTGCTACTAGTCGTTCATGCTTAGGTATGATGCTTGTATGGTCCGAAGGACCGCTCCAATGAAATCTCATGATCTTATCGTCATGTAATATTCGCTTTGCTCTGGTAAAATCTTCTGAACACTGATTAAGTAAGGTCATTCCATCATGATAGTTAACTATACATACATGCACGATACAAACAATGGTTTGATCCCAGGCCTGCTGTGACCGTTGCCCTTACCAGGCAACTCTCTCCGATTGAGCCTCGGTAGATGAATCCATCCGATCCTGTACTCCATACACCGCTAAGTCTGATATTTTTTTTTTCACGGCCCTGTTCTCTCAAGAGATGCCGAAAATTTATCGCTCAGATGTGAAGGGTGTCAGCTGCCCTATGCATGACTTGCTGTCAACATGTCATTCTTGAGACGCGCAGCTCAATTATGACCGGGTGTCTCCCTTGACTGGCTTCCATGACAATGTATTAGAAGCGTGGCGAGTTTGGTCTCACAGTGGGGGAATATAGCATCCCGTAGCATCAAGAACCCAGTTCAAAGACTGCTTTGATTCCGTATCGAGGTGTTGCCCAATCTGCCTAATTAGGCTGGCTCCCCATTCACCCATCCACCAATGTTCTCTTAAGGAGTGAAGAATCACAGCAAAATGACCGAGGACAATCAGGGCGAATGGCTGCCGTTCTCTAAGCAAGTCAACGAATCGCGGTGGAATCTGAAAGATCCACTGAAATGCGGCAATCATGATCTCTCCGCCTCTTGCGAACTTGTCCAGTGACTCTCCTAAGTACTTGATGGTGGGACTGTAAACATCACTCTCATGCGCCGGGTTCTGCCGGGCCAAGGTCGCGTTCATTCTGAGAAGCGCCATTATAGCGAGTCGTGACGTGTCGGGCATGCGCGGTGGCGGATCGCTGGATTCAACTAATTCTTTCATTTCCCCCAACTTGACCCCGTCGATGATCGCTGGTATGGAATCCCCCAATGCCCTGGTGAGCCGGAATATTTCGCAAAGCTCGTCTAATGGGTTTTGATCTTCATGTGATTCCGCGGTGAGAGAAAGAGCGAATGCAGATACAATCAATATATGGTATAGAGCGAATACTGCGTTTGAGTTGGAGTCGTTTAGTTTACCCTTCACCTTCTCTAGGCCGACCCGCGCCTGGCTTTGGTAAGACCGTGCTAGCACTAAGTGGCTCTCCTTTGTAGTACCGCTGTTGTTAAATGCAAGGTGAAGTGCCGACAATGCGAGAATACCATGCATGAGGAAGGGGTGGTGCATCGCCTCTCGAGGCACGACGACACGCCAAATCCATCCAACCGTGTCATCCCGGGAGATAGAGCGATATGTTGCTGTACACCACTGGACCATGAGCTCTAATTCTTCCATGCTGAGTTCTTTAGGTGCAGAGACAGGTTTGATGTTGTCTCCCATCATGATTCTGTATTGCGCAACAAGACGATGGCGGGCGGTTGGTGACGATGTTTGGGGAAAAGGTAAGGAAGACGATGTATAGTATAGACGAGCCTTGGCCCTCGAGTACCTGTACCGCGATAGGACAAATAAATGAGAAAACCGTGACCTGTCCTATACATACCGGATTAGTAGGTCCGGAGGAGAAAGACAAAGACGCCTCAGGCACGCCGTCCAAGGAAACATACCCCAGTCTGCCAACACTTGTATTCACAACGAAATGATCCTTTGTGGTTTCGCCGCACAGGCATTTCTCCAAAGCAACTTGAGCGGTTGAGAAGAGCGGAAGCTGTTCGTCATAAATGTTATCACGGCAATGTCATTCGGCTGATTTTCTTGACATTCTGAAGTGAATGCATCTTTGCAAGACCCAAAGAAAAACCCCGCAGAGCTTTGGATGTTGCACCAGGTATTTATTGTACCTGAGCTAGACTAGTGCTCATGAACAGGTTGATTACTCCGAGTGGGTCTATAATTTGTTGCTTTACGAGATCCTCCCTTGGCAGGGCTGTTGTTCGTTGGCTTCGACAGGGGAGTCCTGTGCTCCTTGTCGGTCTTCTACACACGACGCCATTGAATGAATACATCCATGGCTATCTACAATATCCCAAGTAGGAAAGAGGTCTCAATGAATCGAGACACATTTCGCCGATCGATTACGCTTGCACTCACTACTAGCCCTTGCTGACTAGGCAAATAGAAACGCTTGGGACCAATCAAGAATATCACAAGAATACCATGGAGAACCGAGGATTGGCAGTCGCTTAGGCCTCTTCCACTCCGAGTGCTCACAGGGCTCCGTCCGGACGCCTTTGCAGTCGTCGGATTACTCCTTTGAGGAACAACATAAACGAGAAAATGCTCCAGAGTGCCGGTAGAGTGGGGAGTCGTCCGGATCAAATTGACTACGCCGCAATTACACGCGCGGCGTTGGAGGATTATTGGATCTCATCGTCATGCCATGTTGGGACAAGGGCCACGCGCCGAGATCCACTTCACTGCCACTAGTCTCAACCGGGTATCGAGCGGCGAGCCCTTCTTTTTCCGTTTCCAGTAACAAGTACTCTTGGTCTTCGCATCCATCAATGATTGGATCGATACTTCAAGTCAACGACAGACACTTGCGCTTTGTTCCATGGTTGACCGGCCAGATCGAGTGCCTCTCAATGGAGGAACGCTTTCCCCGAGAGGATCTACAAAGATTTGCTCCTTGTTTGCCGACTCCTATGGAACACAGCGAGATAGGCTCATCCATTGTCTTGGGATTGAGAGGGTTTTCCAGAATTTTCGCTAGCAGCATGGACGAATAAATCTCTCGTGACTGGATGACCGCCCGCGACCCACTCCTTGTGGTTGGCCCAAGCTCCCGTGGCGAAAAGGTCATGCATGCGATCTTACTACTACTACTACTACTCCGCTGCACACGTAAGGTGGCTTGTAGTGAACCCAGCTGAATGGAGACTGGACTTGCCCGGAGGTCGAGTTAATCCTGGGCCCAAACATGCACCGACAAGGGACTTTTAAAGTCAGCCATCAATAAAGGAGTGCTCGCTCAGATGACTATCACCGAGCGGGCAATTTGCAGAGCTTGTTATTGTTCGCATACAAAGCAACCCTTAACGCGGTGGCTACGCAGCTGGTGGGTCGGGGAACTCGTTTCGCATATTGAAACCCAATCGGTCCTGCTAAACCGGGGCTGGATTCCCAGGTCCGAGTTACGTATTGCCCCTTGGCTACTATTATCACTCAAGGATGTACATGTTCTCTTTCCACTTATGGAATCATGACCGATACCTGTTCATAATGCGCCTCGTTAGAGTTCATTATCCTAATTCAGATAGAGGAGCATGTATGCACATGTCGATCTTGTGTTCAATCTCCGTTGCACCAAACGGCCAGTCGGCATATATCATTAGAAGGATTTATGCTTAATAGATATTTTCTCGCTGTCGGTACCACGTCTTCTCTCCCCCCTCAAGTTAGATTTGACGGCCCTCATACCGGATCTAGATTAGCGCCATCTTGACCCTATTGTTGCACATATATCTCACACGTGATCGGGCATCTCTTTATATACACCTTCGAGAGCAGGTGTTCTTTACCAGACAATGACTGGTGCCCGTGTAGCGCCCGGGGGCCACCTGAGACAGTTCTTGATTGAGATATCATTGGCTCAACTCGACCGTTGGCTCAAGGGCTTATATGCACTAATTATAGATACTAGTAGTGCGTTTGGAAGTTGGAACATCCCAGGTAGTATACATATACTAGCCTTAGCTTCTTACAGCACAAACGGCGCAAAACGGCTACACAAGCCAGCCGCGGTCGAAAACAAAAGTCCTGCTCCACAGCTCCTTCATTATTCTTGGTGAGCTGTTAATTAAAGACCAGGTAGACATCCATCTCCATAATGAACAGGAACATATTCCCTGTCCCTCTACAGTTGCAGCGACACCGTCCCGAATCGGTCGAGTGCCGTTCAACTGCACACAGGGATAGACACGAAAAGGCAGCGCGCCGATGTGTTATTGCCAGACTTTGTCGGCGACATATCAAGATCAAACACTACGTTCGAGTGGTGATTGAATATCAAACAACCAAATTTGTTTTCCTATGAAACATCGAAGTAGGCCCGCCTTATGGTTAGGGCTGACTGGCCGTTGTATTACTAGTAGTAGGGTTACCATAGCTTGTATGATTTCCTTGAGCGGTCAAAATGCATATATTCCAAACCACCAGCAGCTGTAAAACTCGGGCTTGGTTGGAAGGCTCCTACGTACCCACGAAGTGTTCTAACCGACAGCTGTTACCTTTCTCTCTTTCCCCTCTTTAATTGTCTTCCTTTTTCTTATCCTCTCCAGACCCGCAAAATCGAGCATACATCCCGACAGTGAATCTACGTTTCTGGGAAGCCATTATATCTTAAAACGCAATTGCCTAAAAGACATCATGATACAGCCTATCTTCTTCGACGAGAAATGCCATCCTTTCAGCACTATAACCACTCGCATTGACGTAGCAAGCTCCCATGTCGTAAATTACACACGGCTCTGCATGCATAGTACTTTCAGGACACTCAAAGACATTTATCAGAAAGAGCTTGGTCTAACTGGAACTAAAAAGGTTGTCTCTATGACGCCCACGGTATTGGTACCACCGCTACCATATACTATCCAAACAATTCCAAATCTCAAAGAAAAGCTCAAGAAATGCCTAATTTGATTAAATAGTACCGTATATATCGCGCAAAAATACCACAAGAACCTCAAATATTTAGCACGATTTAGAGATTCCGCTCCACAGATTAGGTTATTGGATTCGACCGACGTAGTTTCGACCGACGTATTCAGCGAATCTACGTCATGCTGGAAAATATTATAGCCATATGGTGTTTTGGCGCAATAGGATTGATATAATATGACTCATCGTAAGGGTTCACGCAGTGCTCCAGAACCCTGTCTACGGCTCCCAGGCCGCAGTACCGACTTCCCCTCGCACATGGTCGCAAATGCAAGTCACCAAACTTCTGCTTAATCTCAACCTACAGAAAATGAAGAATGCAGTAGAGAATAGTACCACGAACAGCCTTCAAAAACCAAATCACAGGTTCAATAGCAATCTTGACTTCGCTATAGTCGAACTAGATCATGATCGGCAGATGTAAGACAAGTTTGCATCTGTATAAAAATGCCTCCGAAAAAATGCCCGCATTATAACCTGGTAAATGGCAATAGCATTCATACTAACGGAGCCGCAAGCACCATTCTTTATGAGGCTCTTTGCCGAGATCCATCCTTCTCCTCTATGACCATGATACTACCACCCATGATCGTGAGGGATTGGCTTAAGGGTGGGGTGCTCGCCTTATCACAGTGGGGGCCTTGAACTCTGTTTTTGAAGATGATGCCTGGGTTTCTGAGCTTAGCTATTGAGATTGTTTAGCGGGTGTGCTGTATTGAATCTTGTTGACGTTATAACTCACGTCAACGGTGACGTTTGCAGATCATCAGACTCCGATAGTGAGTCAGAAAGCTTCCACTTGTTTGCGTTTATTACGTTTTCCAGTGAACAGTCCACGTAGTTCTTGATATTTACCAGGCAGCACCAACTGATAGGTAACACACGTGTCGTCGCCTAGTCATATGTTAAAGACACTAGAGAGATCCTTGGTAACAGACTCGCCGCTGCCAATCACTCAAGGTGATTAAGCTACGCAAAGGCTTTAGCCATTCCAACACTCTGTGGCTTGTGATTTTTTGGTTCGTGAAGCAAAATACCTGCTTACGGGTTCCGGGATCAAGTGAAATCACTGCTGGTCACATGAACGAGACTCTCGAGCCAACGATTAGGTTTATCTAGAGTTCTTGTACAGGTACATGTGTTCATCGGCTGGGGAGTGTTGACGGCAGCGCCATGGATGGTGATCTTACTTCCAGGAGTTGATGATATGTGCGGGTAGCGGTGAAACTTGTAAATTGTTGTTTCGACATTTGAGTGGGGCTATTGATTCATTGCTTATTGGTTTTGTAGGCCTTGTTGACTAGGGCTGTGATTTTTGCTGGCTGTTGTAATTTTATGCAGTCATCATCGCGATAGTAGTTTAGGTAATCTTCGAAGGAAGAGAGTTTTGCGCGAACCAGAAAGAAACAAGAATTCCATTTTGCATGAGGGGCATGACGTAGAATAACAGCTGAGATAAACCCTTGGCGTTATCATTCAATATATAGATGGGGAGTCGCTGCGCCCCAATTTTTCGCAGTTTAATGACGCGGGGACTGCGCTCAGTTATCCTGGGCGAGCAACAGGGGGACGACGCCTGCAAAAGTCATTTGGTCTTCTCCCAGCCATGTTTTCACCTTGAATTACTGATTGTTTGAGAACACCAGCACAGATATCCTCCCGAAACCACAACAATGCATTATGAGTCGATGTCCCACCATCAAAGTCTGTCAGCAGAAGGATTCAGGCATCCTGCCGGTCGAGGATGGAGGGGTTACCGTGGACAGCAGAACGAAGTGGGAGAACCGCAGACGGGGAACTGCAGTCCCCGCTTCCATCAGTGCGCGCAGCTGTAACCCGACTCGCTGGCAAACTTTCTTGGGCGTCGCATTGGTGCGTGCCAAGGACGACGGATCATGCTTAGGGGGCTGACAAGTGCTGATCCGATGTAGCTCTCACCGCCCCAGGGAAAGAAACGAAGTGACCGAATTCATCTCAAAGATGGGGGGAGGAAGAAAAGGGATGAAAAATAAAGTAAAAGAGAGAGAATATAGGTGAGACAGTACCTCTTGCGGTAGATGTGCCTTGCGTTATCTTCCCGTTCAACCTGAAAACGGATTGCGCTCGGGTCAAGCTTGCTTTGCGTTAACCCAAACCGGAGGACCACTTAGTTAGTATGGTTACTCCTCAGGACCGAGGATCGTCTTTATGACAGCCGTAAAAATAAATTGTGCAGAATACAGTAGCGCAGATTGGTCGGGGCAATGGTTTTGGCCTCCACTGGACTAGGGGTTTGCCGCTGTTGGGCTGCTGGGCATTTGGATCTAAACCCCTCCGTCGTTGATCATTACATTTCCGGAAACCCCACGGACTTGAGATAATTTGAAATAGCTACTTAAAAGGTGGAGACAAAAATTCAAAACTGACTGGTTGAGATTACCGATATAAAGGAAAGTAGAAAAACGTAAAAAGAAAACAGAAAAATCAATTAATAAAGAGCGTCCGTGGAAAAGAAAAAGGTCGAATATACAAGTATCTTTCGGCGAGTTGATAGATCGTGTGCAATTGTCGGCCAGTCTTTGGCGGTTAATTTCCCACATTCCGGCGCTACGCCCAGAAGGGAGGAAGTCTGAACCCGACGGTCTGGGTCGAGGTTCCTGCGGCGGGCTGATCATCGCCTAATCCGTGAGTCTTGTTGCTACATCTCGTCAGAGAGTCAGTCATTCTGGGAAGAACAAAGGCGAACCCGATTTAGTATTGGTATAGTGACGAAAATAGAAGAAAGTGGCGGGAAAAAAAAGTACAAAAGAGACAAATAAAATTATACAACAGGTGTCAGCGTATATTAGCAGGAGCAAAGAAATCAATTGTATGAAACATAATAACGAGAAAACATAATAGTACTGGTGGCATCGAAGAAGATGATCGCCAGAAGTTAAAGTTAATAAAATTTTTAATAATAAAAAATGGAGGAATAAATTTCTAAGGGTATGAGCTCATCCACAGTCGATTTCTTTTCTCTTGTCTGGACCTCTCGTGACTCTCCACGCTCTCCGCTTCGTCATTCGGCTCTCTCACCTTTTCTTCCCTCATTTCCCACTTGCTCTTTCCTCACAAACTCCCCCACACCCAAAACGTTCCAACTTCAATATCAACCCTTGGGTTGATCTGCAGCTTCTGACTCCACCGATTATATCCAAGTGGCTTCTTCCTTACGACCCTGAAGATTAACGTGGACGCTGTGTGCGAACCTTTGGTCCTGAGGTCGATCCGTGGAAGGCCTAGCGAATCTCCCGCAGTTTGACAGCTCCTTCTTACGGCTCAACCACAGCGATCGTCAATTACCCTCTAAAAGTCTCAGCAAAGTGGTAGTACGCGTTGCGAATTGACTGAACTGTACGTGATTTAAAAGATGAGGGCCTGGTGTACGTGGTGATTATTTAACTTATCGCCCCGATAGCTTAGGTCAGTCGCGCATCCTATCTTTCGGGTACGCCCCTCTTTCGCCACTTTTTTCCCTGGCGCCCTCTCAGAAATTGCACCCCGCAACGATCGTACCTCTCACCACCGCACGCGTCTCTCCCCACAAACAGTCTACTGTGGCCCGTACCATTGTGTGCTATATTTCCTTCTCAGCTCGCTTAAGTAGCTGGAGTTGTCCCAGCGCAGATTGAGGACCGACAAACTTTCAGCCAGTGCTCGCTTCGGTCGCGGCTTTCACGCACTTCAACCATCGCTTAGAGTCAATGGTCTAACTGTGACGTTGGACGCTTTTCGCATGCTCTATAGACGCTAGTTTCATATACCTAGCGCTCAAACCATTCACGAAACGGGAACACCGGTTATTATCGTCTATTCAACTCGCACGCCATGTATGCTATCGAAGAAAGGGCACACCCGCCACCACCGCCGCCTCTCTCCATGGATCGAATTCCTCCGCCTTCCTCATCATATCCCACCCCAGGCTCGGGGGGTGGAATGGTCTCCGCAGGTATTCCGTCATCTAGCCATCTAGCGCCGCTTTCGACAGTCCACGAGGGTCGCATTTGGTCTCTACAAGTTGTGCAGCAACCGATTCGGGCCCGAATGTGCGGCTTTGGCGACAAGGTTAGTTTCTATATATCCTATATATTGACCGACTGCTTATTTATCGATCTAGGATCGGAGGCCCATTACCCCTCCTCCGTGCATTCGCCTCATAGTTAAGGACGCTCAAACTGAAAAAGAGATCGATATCAAGTATGTAAACCTTGGAACCAAGTGAATTAGTAGCGGCGCTGACCCTGGTTGCAGTGAAATTGATACTTCTTTTTACGTCCTCATGGTAGACCTGTGGAACGCGGAGGGAACGAACGAGGTGAATTTGGTCAAGCATTCAGCAACCTCTCCGTCGATATCAACGGCCATGTCCTCTTCATACCCGCCACCGCCGCAAACCCTGTCCCCCACCTATGCGCAATACCCACAAAATGCCTACGGTCAGCCGGTCCCCTACCCGCAAATGAATAGCTATTACCCGGGAAACCCTCAGCTACAGTATCAAAACCCTTACGGTGCCAGTCCCCAAACCTCTTACTATCAACCATACTACCCGACCGGCGGTCATATGCCACAAGCCAATATTTCCCCTGCACAACCGGTTAGCACGGGACCTGGTGGCATGTTCACGCGCAACCTCATTGGAAGTCTCAGTGCCAGCGCCTTCCGTCTGACCGATCCAGACAATAAGATCGGAGTATGGTTCATCTTACAAGATTTGAGTGTACGGACTGAAGGGGTCTTCCGGTCAGTGAGCATCAATCGTAATTTGTTGCAATGCATCTTTACTAACGCCTTTTCAGCCTTAAAATGAGCTTTGTCAACGTGGGCACTCAATCCAGTGATTCTCCTAACGGAGGAGTGTCTGTGATCAATCATGGATCCGCGCCCGTCCTAGCGTCCGTCTTCTCTGAGCCATTCCAAGTTTTCTCGGCCAAGAAGTTCCCCGGAGTGATCGAGAGTACGACACTCAGTAAGTGCTTCGCTCTCCAAGGCATCAAAATTCCTATCCGGAAAGATGGTGTGAAGGGCTCACGCGGCCGGAACAACGACGACGACGATGGGGATGATTACGATTAAGAAAGCCGCGTTGCTTTGCTGCACTACGCCGTACATTAGGTTGAGAGACATTGTGACTCGAGTGCCTTTAATTTCATGGTTCTCATCTTTTTACGCATTTACGGGTTAAGATACGGGGGCAAGGTTTCGGTCGGCGGTGTTCAGGGCAAGACAGGTTCTTTCAAATGGGTGGGATGTATTGCTATCGGGATTGGTGCCGCGGTGTTTTTTTCTTTTTCTCTTTTTTGGCTTTTATCTCTTTTTGCTAATTGTTGATTCACCCCCTTTTGTTTTTGCTTTATAATATCCCCTTTTTTGTCGCATCTTTTTTAATCGTCTGAAGGTGTATGTTCGACTGTGTGGATGCTGTCTGGATTGCGTGAAACATATTATCTCCTTGCTTTTCTTTCTTTCCTTTTATGTGTACTTGTTCAAACCGCGCCGAGTACTCGATCACCCCTAAAGTATTTCTTAGGGATGGTTGAGACTGGGCGCTTCGTGTATGTTTTGCCACGGAATTGAAAGAACCGACAGGATGGAATATGCCCTAATCCATGGATAATGCGGAGAAGTGACATCAGAAGTGGATTGCCATATCAGGTGATCGAATTTGTACTGCGTAGGTCCCATGCACGGAAGGAAAAAAAAAAACTCAATTGAGTTCCTAAATTAAGTAATTTTAACTTGGTGGGAAATCCATAGAAAGCGTTGCCACCGAGGACCCTGGAACGAATATCGTCTACCTGCCGACGGGTCTCGTATCCGTAACCCATAGTGATGCTTAGTTAGTGAGTGCGACTCTCCCAAATTTGCCAGGTCTGCCATGGGTCGTCGGCAGTGCCCGAACCCTCGGCCATTGTTTGCCATACTGTGTGGCTAGTTTCTATTATTATACACTTAGTTCTTGCAGCGTTACAGACAACTCCCAAGTGTCTCGGAAAAAGTGAGACAGAGACCTCGAGAATCAACGATAGCAATCTCGGTTCTTCAACGACCTCCCCACATAAACGTCATAGATGTTATTAAATAAATCTCCACGGTTGCTCGTCCCGCGACCCCCGTGACAAGCCATCATATCGCTTGCATGCGGTCTCACTTTAGCGGTTGAACAGTGCACCAGCTCAGTATTGGCGTCGTCCCCTGATAGGTTATGATCCAGATTTCGATATGATTATGCAGCGGTTGGCGCCGACTGCAATGTAACGTCTCCCTCATGGCTCCACGAGATGCAGAATGTTGTATGACACTTTGCTATCCATGGATGTCTCGCAGCCTCCTCGTCCTCCAGATATAAATACGAGGTCGAGCTCTCGACACCATGCCTCTCCAAACAGATCAGCCTAGAAACATTATAGCCATCTTCCAAGTTCCCATCCACAGTCTCTCGTTTATTAAATCACCAAGATGAAGTTCTCCATGGTCCCCTCGTTGCTTCTTCCCCTGCTGGCGGCCGCTGCCCCAACCGCCCCGGAGAACCCTCCTTTCAACGTCATGGCCACCCGCTCTGCTTCCCCCATCCACTTCCTCCCCATGACCGCCTCCGGCCAGAAGTTCTACCTTGGTGGAGAAACCACGTCCTACTGCCCCATCTCCGAGGGCTGCCCCCCCGGCAACCAGACCGTGTTCGCTCCTGGTGGCTATGGCTTGGTAAGCCCTCACTTATTTTCTGTCTTCACTTCTCCCCGTTACTAACGAAAACTCTCCAGAACGTCATGGTCCCCGGCGGCCAGCAGGTCTATGTTGACCCCAACGGCGCTCTCTCCTTCACCCAGGCCCACTCTGCCTATATTCCCGAGGCTCCGCCGTGGGTCCCTTCAACTACAAGCCCGGCAAGGACTGGGGCTACTACACCTTCGATGGCTGGGGTACTTCTGGCTTCATGGCTTGCCCTACTGAGGACTACCGCTGGCAGGTATTTGCCGCTGTCCAGAACGCCACTGTCCCCAAGGGTAACGTGGCTGAATGCCTTGGCTTCAATGCCCTGGCTAACAAGGCTGCCCCGGAGGCTGCTGCTTGGCAGTACATTTAAGCCTAGGGCGAACTAAGGCGTCCTGATTTGAGAAATAATCAGATTTGAGAAGAGGTTGTTGCTACGCAACGCGGTGATTGTGATGGTTGTGTAAATTACGCCTGTTGATGAGATATGACAATCCTTTTGTATATATGCAACATTTGAATGCAGTAGTGCTTAGGGTATCGCCAACTTTTGTTCCGTGTAATTCTATTGCGTATCTACGTTAATTTCTCCATATCCGCACGGCTTTGTCCTTACCGCCGCTGCCCACCTTCTCGCCATCGGGACTCCAGTCGACTGCGAAGACCTCGTCCTTGTGCCCTGGGAGATCCATGGCCAGTTTGCCAGTGCGGACGTTCCACACCTTCAAAGTGGTGTCTTTGGAGGAGGATACCAGGAGACGGGAGTCTGCTGAGAAACAGCACTGATAGACTGCGCCGACATGGCCGCGGAAAGTAGTGATGAACCTGCTCATGATTAGATATGTGTGTGTGATGACAATCTGGGCGGTTGAACTCACTTTCCATCTCTTCCATTCCACAGCTTCACATGATTATCGAATCCAGCGGATGCAATATATGCCATATCGGGGGAGAAGGCACATGGTTGACCTCCTTTTGGTGGCCCAGTAATCTAGCAACCGGCTTGTTGGAGCTCTCCGGCTCCCACAAGTACATAGTGAAGTCATCACTTGCAGATACGAGTCTCTCAACAATCTTGTTATCGACGGTGGCCGCTTGCTCGAAGCGTTTCCGGGCTGCGGCGACTTTGTCGGCATCGGCTTCAGGGACTTTCTTAGTGTGGTCGTGGTAGGCGGTTCTCAGAACGAAGTCGGTCGAAAGGGCTAGATGGTTCACGCGGTGCGCATGGGCCTGTAGTGTCTGAATGAGGGTACCCTGTTTGGCGTCCCACACCTTGATGGTCTTGTCATGGGAGGCTGTGTAAATCTTGCCCATGCCGCCCCAGCGGACGCAGGTGACCGAGCCTTTGTGACCGGACAACACAATATCAATTCGTTTCGATACAACGTCCCAGACACGGACAGTAGAATCCTTCGACGCCGAAGCCAATCGCGGCCGACCAGTTTCTTGCACATGGTACGGTTCCCACGCCAGACTGGTGATCCACTTCGCATGTCCCTTGAGCGGGCCTCCCAGTGCCTGTCCTTTCTTTGCATCCCACAGTCGTACGCTATTGTCCATGCTACCCGTCGCGATAATCGCACCGTTGGGGGAGTAAGCGACTGCTAGCACCCAACTGGTGTGTCCCTTCAGTGTGTGCAACGGTGTACCGGTATCGCAATCCCAGACACGGGCTGTCGAATCGCCGCTTCCGGTCACCATTGTTGAAGAGGATACAGGGGAGAATGCAGTCGCAAGAATGGCTTCACCATGTCCAGCTATAGAGGCAGCGCATCGTGAAACAGCCTTCACTCGGAACACTGCCTGCGGGGTAAAGTATAGAGAGATGGTATCTTCGGTTGTTCTGAGTCCAGGCTGGAGTAACGAATGATAGAGATCCGCTAAGATGTCGATGGCCTGATTGTCTTTATCCTGAGATTGGTAGGTGAACCGGTACGGTACTCGTTCATCATCTTCCTATAACCCATAACAGTAGAGCATTAGCCTACGGCGCATATCGGAAATTTAGATTCTCTGCGTACCTACATTGCCTTGTAATGTATTCAAAAGGGTCTCAAGATTTTTCACATTGGCATCGGCCACTGGGACGGACACTGCAGGTCCCGTTGCGGATCCTGTTGCTTGGTCGAAGAACTGCACTCGGACACTGCCCAGGTTATCTGGGATGCTTTCGATCTCCTGTTGCAGACGCGCCTTCTCGGCAATCTCCGTCTTCTGGCGTTTTGTCGGAGGGGGTACAAGAGTCGACATTTTGCCACTCGAATGGAATATTTGTTTTTATTGAAGTCGATCTTGTCTTGAATAAAAATTTCAACGGCTATCATGAAATCGCACTTATCGCGGAGTAGTGGATCGGCGCTAAACTGGATTTGGCTATCCGCTCTTTATCAACAGTATACAGTTTCCTTTCCTACTTCTTCTCTCAGTTATATCAGGAAATCCCTTTTTTCTTGTTTCCAAATGTTGCGATTGCTTATCCATATGGAATGTCAATATTAATGTCTAGAGCTTCTTCCCTTGGGGTCACTGATTCCTTCGTTCCTCTCTCGAGGCAGAGCAGTGGTCCCCTCCGGACAAGACCTACTACGACAGCAACAAGTGTCGCATCTCAAGAAATTATCTGTGCCGTTAGCGAGTCGCGCGGTGTCTCATCTACTGTTGGCCTCACTTTCATCAATTTATCAACGGCAGAAGCGGTACTATGTCAGATATGTGACAGTCAAACTTATGTCAAAACAGTTACCAAGATCGGAGTGTTTGAGCCCACAGAGATACTCTTCATGACTACAGCCAAAGATTCCAAGCTATTTTACATTATTAAGGAAAATATTCAAGAAACCACATTCACCTTCCTAGACCGTAGGGACTGGTCGGAGAAGACCGGCCATGAGTATGTGGATCGACTAGCTTTTCCTGAGGATATTGAATCTATAAAGATTACCTTGGGAGGTAATTTTTTTGCTGCCTGTTGTTTTGCTGCAGTATGTGAGAGCCAACGTACTTACAAGCTTCGCTCATGTTTTATAGGTTCTGAAGTATGTCGAGCTGGAGCTAAATAGGACGTTCGCTTCCCACTCCCTTCGCATCCGTTTCGAGCCTTCCCAGGGGTCCATGCTGATTGACTTATCTACCATAACTTCCTTGGAGCTGATCCAAAATCTGCAGAATGCTAGATCCAAGGACAGTCTCTTCGGGCTTATGAATGAAACACTAACTCCCATGGGTAGCAGGCTTCTGAGAGCCAATATCCTGCAGCCCTCTACAGAAGCTTCGAAGTTGATAACTCGATATGATGCCGTGGAGGATTTATCTACGAAAGGGGAAATGTTTGTATCAGTTAGACAAGGTTAGAAATGAAGGTTGCCCTGCTAGCCATTGACTAACTTGTTATGTTCCAAACTTCCAACAGCCCTCAAGGGGTTCATCGACGCAGATAAAGTCTTAACATCTGTGAGTTGATAAGCCTTTTGGCGCTCATCATATCTGACAGTCTAGCTCATCCTCGTTCCAACCAAACGAACTTTTCAATACGTCGAGCAATCGGTCAATAATGTCATCATGCTTAAAACTTACGTGGGTTCAATCAGATCAGTGTACAAGGCGCTTGGAACGGCTCAAAGCAGCCTTTTACTGACGATCAGAGAAGTAGTAGCCTCGTGGCCCGCTGACTTGCAAGTCTAACTAGGCTATAGTTATGCGCTCCAGCAGGTTATCGGGCAGTTGAAGAGCTAATCGAGTCAACCATCAACGAGTATGTAACATACCAAACGAGACCGCTTGACCTGAGAAACCAGCGTATATACTGTGTCAGGGTACGTACCCGTCGCTTGAGTTGCTATATTTTCAGTACGGCTGTCTGATAATCCAGCGATACAGGCTGGCGTCAATAGTCTACTCGATGTTGCGAGACAGACATACAAAGAAGCAAATATGGATGCTGCAGATCTCATTACAAAGCTTTCAGGTGAGTAGATAGAAGCAGTTGTTACCTAGGCACATCTAACGTACTGTAGAATCTCATGGAATAGCCCTCGATCTGAAGTTTGACACAGCACGCCAATACTTCATTAGTATACCAGCTACAGAAGTAGACACACTCCCTGAAGTATTCATTAACATATACCGCAAGAAGAACCGCATAGAATGCCAAACTCTTGACTTAGTCAAACTGAACCAGAAAATCATCGATGCACATAACGAAGTAGTTAACATGAGTGACCAGACTGTCCATGAATTGATCCAGGATATCCGTTCCGAAATAGCCCACCTCTTCAAGATCAGTGAAGCCATTGCCATGCTTGACATGCTATCCGCATTCGCCCAGCTGGCTGCAAACCACGACTATGTTCGAGCAGAACTAACAAACGTCCTCGCCATCAAGTCAGGACGACATCCCATCCGCGAGAAAATACATACCAAGAAATTCATCCCTAATGACGCCTACGCAACCCAGCAATCACGTTTCCAAATTATCACAGGCTGCAACATGAGCGGCAAATCCACCTACATCCGCTCGCTGGCCCTAATGACCATAATGGCCCAAATCGGCTCGTTCATCCCAGCTGAATACGCCTCTTTCCCCATCGTGCACCAGCTTTTCGCTCGCGTCTCAACCGCTGACGACCTAGAAGCAAATGTATCGACCTTCGCCGCCGAAATGCGCGAGATGGCGTTTATTCTCCGCAGCATCGAACCAAGGAGCATGGTCATCGTCGACGAACTAGGCCGAGGCACCAGTACAACAGACGGTTTGGCCATCGCCATCGCCATCGCAGAAGCCCTCGTCGAAAGCCACGCCCTCATCTGGTTCGTCACCCACTTCCACGACCTTGCTGTGATAATGGCCGAACGTAGTGGCGTTGTCAACCTCCATCTCGCGGCGGAGATATCCCCCAACATGTCCAAGATGACGATGTTGTACAAAATAGCCGAAGGCCCCGAAACAAACCGCTTCTATGGCCTTGCTCTTGCTAAACTTGTTGATCTACCGCCTGGCGTGCTGGAGTATGCGCAAATGGTCTCGGAGAAAATGAACCAAATTGCGCAACGTCGTCACAGCAAGTCTAGAGCTCTGGCTGTTGCGCGGAAACGGAACCTTATTCTCTCGCTCAGGGAGCAGCTCTTGCAGGCTCGAGATGGGAAAATGGAAGGTGAGACGCTTCGCAAATGGCTGAAGCGACTTCAGGACGAATTTGTGTTGCGGATGGCTGCGATTGATGAGGGTGAGTCTGTTTCCTGTGGTTCTGAGGACGGAGAAGAACAAGAGGGGTCCTCTTCGGGTCAGGTTGAAGTGACAGGACTTGATACTGTGGATGACCAGCCAGATCGCGAGGAAAGTTCTGTATCCCTTCTCCTCTCGTCAGTTGAGGAAAGGTCCGTTATAGAGATCTCTTCAGATGATATTTCCGAGAATGGCAGTTGTTAATGTGTACTATTTATGAAATCATACTTATATCTTACTATGATGGGACCCCAAGTTACCAATTACTTTCCTTCCTAATTCATAAAATCATATCCGGACAGACCGTTTGCATTCCATTTCCATTAAGGATTAACACCAATCCTTCACACTTTTTAAACTTGCGTATCACAGTTCTATTATGACTCGCTTAACAACAAAAGCTAAACAGCACAAGGTCATAACTCTCTAAAAGTAGACCAAAATAGTAATCACACTCCTTAACCAAAATGGAAAAGAGTCTGCTTTCCCTTCTTCCCCTTACCCTTCTTACCACCGCCTGCAGAGTACTCTCCGAAATCGGAATCCGGTTCGCCGGGGGTACTGGTGCCTGATCCACCTGAGGTCCAGGCATTCGAGTTCGGAGCGTCTCGTCCATCCCAACGGACACGGACAGTTCCGCGGGTGAGGCCGGCCATGAGGACGTTTGGTTTAGGGGCGGCGGGGAGCGCCGGGAAAGCTTCGGCGTTGCCGGTATTTGTAGGTCGAGGGGTGGTACTAGGTTTAGGGGCAGGACGGGAGGATGGGCCAGCGTAGGATGGCCCAGTGTACGATGGAGCAGGGGATGCCGTGGCCCAAGGGGTATTGCTTTTGGCAGCGGCAGACTTTTTGGAGACAGTAGAGGAGAGGGGGGGGAAGGGGTTACTTGAGGATGAGCCTGAGGGGAGGGCACCGCTTCTGCCGACGGCTGAGCGAGAGGACTGGGCGGTTGAGGATTTCAGCCGGAGGACACGTTTGCCTCCGGCACCGCTGCCGTTCACGGTGCTGGGGGACATGCCTGGTAGGAGGCCCCCAGGGCCTGGCAGGGCTGGGTAATCTTCGTTAATAGCGCGCCAGTCATTCCAGGCTTTGAGTAGTGCGGTTCGTTTGGAGTCGTTTTCGTAGATCTCCGCGAGCTCCTTGACGAGTTTGCCTAGCTCGTTGGTGGATGTGTCGAAGAGGGAGAAAAAACCGTCGATCAGCTCGGTGGCTGTTAGGGCAGAGGTGCGGTAGGTGGACACTTTGGAGCGGAATTCATTCAGCTTATTTTGGTCATTGCCAAGGAGATTAGAAGCACGCTCGACTACGGCTACATGACGCAGACGGCGGGCCTGTTCCTGAGGCGTGGCAGATCCGGAATCATGGCCGAGACTGAGATCCTGCAGTTCCGCCACAGGGGTGGACGCAGCTGGGGGTGTTCGGGAGGCTGGGGTGCGCGGGGGAGCGTGTACAGTTTGAGTATCATTACGGGTCAATTGACCTCCGAAGCTGCGGGTTGATACTGACTGCGCACTTTGAATGGCCATCTGTCGTTGGTAGGCAATTTCAGCTCTTGTTAGTGGTTGTGCAGAGGACACAGGAAGAGGCTCCGAATTTGGATCGCGCCCACGACCAGCGCCACGGCGTTGTCTTTGAGGTTGATAGGGGGTTCTGTAGTCGAAAGACGACAGATCCACGGTTCGTGCATCGCGTCTGGCATCCTTGGAAAGGCCATTTGGATGACATTCCAATTGGTGAGCTTTCATATCCATTTCAGATTCGAAAACAACAAACTTTTTCTCCAAGCACTCCTTGTCCAGGCAAAGAAAATGGTCCTTCTGGAAGTGATCCTCAAGCGCATTATAGTCAATATAATACTGTTGTTGACGACTCCCGGACCGTCTATCACAAATGTGACATCTTTCATGGCGATCGCGACAGTGAGCGTACAGTTCATCGTCACCATAAAACCGCTGACGGCAGAAACCACATTCGGGGTGACCCTTAAAGCCACTCTGTTCAACGGCCCCAGGAACATGATCTCCGTACTTCT